AGCCAATTTCTGTGTGAGAGGCCTGTCTAAAAACCCTATTCATAAGCCGTCTAATGCTGGTGCGTAATTAAATGTGATTACTGGAGTGGGGGTGGGGGGTGCAGAGGGGCTTCGCTCCGGCTCTCCGAGGGCCACACACAGGACTGGAGGGAATGTGCATGTGCTCATTAAGGAGGCGCTAACAGATGTACACAAGCAACAACCACAGGCGCACCCGAAGATCCCAACTGCATCTCCCTCTTCCTTCCACCAACAAAAGCAGGCAGGAGTATATATATATATATATATATATATATATATATATATATATATATATATATATATATATATATATATATATATATATATAAAACTTCTCGGGCTTTAAGAGAACCTGGATTTGATCTTAATGTTGAAGAAACTGGAATGCGTTTTCAGTTTTCCAAACATTATCCTTCAACTGGAACTTAGAGAGTAAATTTGCTATTTGCTATTTTTAACCTGATGTTCCAGAATCCTTGAGTGGTTTCCAAAGTACAGAGAAAAAAAATCAAACAACCAGCAAGGCGTTTGGCGGTAAATCAAAATCAAGAGAAATTTTCAGTCAGTGATAATCAGGAGGCAAACAGGCAGATATATAAACAAAATCAGTTACGGTTTTCTAGCCTCACTTACACACACACACACACACACACACACACACACACACACACACACACACACACACACACACACACACACACACACACACACACACACACACACACACACACACACCTCCTCTGACTCTCCGGTTCAGTTTCCTGAGCAGACATGGTCCCCTGGTGCTCATGGGAAATAGTGAGCATGCCAGGCCCCCACAAAGGCGTCCTTTCAGCCGCCCGCATGCTTGACCTGTGCAGGGTCAGTGCTCTGCTTTGTGCCCCGTGACCCCAGAGCGACCCGTGGGTCATGCTGAGGGCTGGAGGTCAAATCCAGATGCCGTAAAAATCTGCGTCCCCTGCCTCCACCCTGCCTCACCCAGGCTAACTCCCACACTTCCCCGGCTCCTGAAGACTCCCAGTATCTCTACCCATTACTGAGCCTCAGAGGAACATGGGGACTCTGCAGTCTAATTGGGCTACCATGAAGTAGCTCTCACACTCAAGCTCTCTCAGTCTCACACACACACACACACACACAGAGACACACACACACACACACACACACACACACACACACAGAGACACACACACACACACACACACAGAGAGACACACACACACACACACACACACACACACACACACACACACACCAGCAAGCTTGACCCCTGCAACTGCACTAATACCCAATCCCATAGCTGTTGGTCAATCCTGAGGGATTAGGTGAAGAGAGACACACAGACAACCCCAAATACATCCATATACATAAATGCAAACACACACACTAACACACGCACATACACGCACACACACACACACACACACACACCAACACACACACGAGCACAGCAGGACTGGCTGAGGGTCTACCTTGAGGGATTATGTGCAGAGAGACAGGACCCTCCAGCCAATCAACCGGTCTGTCACATTGATTTTGAGGGGTCACTGCCACACAATGGCCAGGGTTTTTCCTGTCTTAACCTTTCGGATCATGCACACACACGCACGCACACGCCTGCACACGCACACAGGCACACACACACGGACACAAAGTTTGTTTTTTTACCCATTTTAGGATTTTGCATCATTTAATAACTCCATTTATGCCTAATCCAGACATTTTCTCATAACTCCAACCAGTACTGGTCTTTTTCTAACTCTAACCTTAACTGAAACTTAAATCACACCTTACCGCTAAAGCTAACCCTTAACCCTGACAAGGTCCACTGTCATATGACTGGGCTTACGGCCGTTGGCCTTTAGATGGTTAGTAATTCCAGAAATGGTCGTAAGAAGAATTTTTAATCAAGTACACACAAGCTCTGCTCCTACTACAAATATGTGCAAAACTTTGTTTATATTCCTGATGCCGAAAAACACAATTTCAGAGTTGCGGTGTTTCCATTTAATAATAAAGGCAATTAAAATCACGTGAATAAATTTGTTTTTGTGATAAGACATTGAAAACATAATGCGGCATGATCTTACTACTCACTGCCATGTTGTTGATCATGTGACTCGCGTGATGCAAAAAAAGTGTTTCCACTGCACTTTTGCTAAATAAACCAATTTTCATAGGCCAAAAACTCATCCAAGAGACAAATTTATTTCATAATCCCAAAATGTGCAACTATATGGTAAATTGAAACAGAACCAGACACACACACACACACGCGTGCACCGGCACACACTCAAGCATACACACCGCCCACAGAAAGCAACTGTACTTTAAAGACGTTCACAAAAATACACATGCAGTTTTAAACCTTAAGTCCAGGCCACACACGCACATTCACACACATAGCAGTAAATTCAATTTAATTAGCAGAAACAAACAGCCATACATTCTTTTTATAGGTGTAATTACTTAAATGAAATATTAAGGAAATAAATTTGATTTTATTAGTGTAAAAATGCAGTTTATTGTAAAGGACACATGCTGGATTACAGACTGAAAACTGACTAAAAACAGTTCAATTTGGACTAAATACAACACTGACCTATCAGGACTGGCCTGGTTTAACCCAACAGGTTTGTTTTTGGGGTTTCAGCCAGAGTACTGAGTTAAGTCATCGACCTAAAACAGGGTTAAACCCGTTACCTATCAGTAATGTGGGGAAAGTGGATTGAAAAGAATAACTGATACCGTTGATTAATAAACAAGTATTATTTGTGTTGAAACGCATCATGTTTGTGTTTTGTTTAATTTGAGATTCAAAAAGATCAGATTAAAACAAGAAAGACACTTTCATAATGTCCAACACCTGAATATGAGTGACAAACTTATTACTTACTCTATAACACTGTGTTAAAAAGAAATCTATCTATCTATCTATCTATCTATCTATCTATCTATCTATCTATCTATCTATCTATCTATCTATCTATCTATCTATCTATCTATCTATCTATCTATCTATCTATCTATCTATCTATCTATCTATCTATCTATCTATCTATCTATCTATCTATCTATCTATCTATCTATCTATCTATCTATCTATCTATCTATCTATCTATCTATCTATCTATCTATCTATCTATCTATCTATCTATCTATCTATCTATCTATCTATCTATCTATCTATCTATCTATCTATCTATCTATCTATCTATCTATCTATCTATCTATCTATCTATCATCTATCTATGGTAGTGAAGTAGATTTTGTAACAATCTAAAATATCTGCCATATCCACCTACACACATGTATATATACATCCACATCCTCTGTGCAATTCAGAATTCCCCTTCCTTGCCTATCAAAGCTTCATCACATGCCTGCTTTTAAAAAAACCCTCATCTCTGGGGGAAAGCACAACCAGCTTGAGGGGGAAATTTAAGGTCAAGACCCTTTTCGCCCTCCATGGCTTACTCCTTCCAACCCCCGCCTCCTTCTTCTCTTTCCTGGTCAAATGACACAATAGTTGTGTATCAGAGAGGGCACCGGGCAGGCGGAAACAAACCGGGGCCGCTGCCAGCAGCATCTCAGGTGCAGAGGCTAAAAAGAAAAAAAACAAAACAAAAAAAAAAAACTCTCCAACGTCATCGACCGCATTTGCTCTTTTCTGTTTTAGTCTTTTGTTGCTTGTTTCCCTTTCCTGAAAGGAATATCTGAGGCCTCTGGAAAAACAGGATTCCAACATGTCTGTTGGTGCTTTTGTAAAATAAATATAACAATGCAAAAATATTCTGTTACTAGTATATGACCCTCTGGAGGAAACGAGGAACAAAGAGCACTGTCAACAAAATGTTCTCAAAAGAATAATCTATTATGCAGGAGAAGAAAAAAAAACATTTCCATCTAACTGATGACATATCAGCATTTTATGATGCATTAATGTATCAACGCCACCGAGTTGCATCTAATTATGCATGTGTCTAAATAATTATTGAAGTAAAATAAATTAAAATCACCAGTGAAGTTAATGTCAACAGAAATAAATATATATGTCACAAACAACATTCAAACTGGCTGAAAGGTGAAAGAGAATGCTAGCAAAAGTGAAACAATTGAAAGCTCATCAACTTTTGTGACAAATCATCTGTCAACTGATATATAATGATGGAAATGATAACTGTAAAAACATGCAGAACTGTTGAAAACATCTACAATAACAAAATGTGTCTGAAGTTATGGGATGGTAAGAAGTTAGTAAAATATGACAAACGCCACAGTGTAATGGTATCACCAAAAAGATGTGTTAACATATTTTAGAATTTAAAAAGGGAGGTCTCATTAAAACTAAGCAACAATTATGCTTAAGATGACATACAAAGACTGTTTTAGATAAAAAAGTACATTTCCACCAAAAATCTCAGAAATGTTGGCATTAATTTCAGAAATTTTCTAGAAAAACATGGGAAATTTCACAGTTTCAAAAATCAAAATGTTGCTCGAAAAATCTTTGAAATTTTGAAATTGAACTCATGGAAATTTCTGAGTTTCAAAAACACATTCTGTAATGTTGTCAGTGTAATCTAAGACTGGAAATGATTTAAAACAAGTTAGGATAAATGCAGGATGGACAATAAAATGCAGCAATACAGAAAAAAGATGACTAAATATCATTATTTAATATCTTTAAATATATTATTAAAGATATATTTATTTAATATTATTAAAGACTGAATGGAAAGAAAGAAACTCATTATTTATTAACACAGTAAGAAAACAACAACAACTTGCTCGGTTAACATATACACTTAAAAAAAAATCTAGATCAATTCAATCAATTTGCCTTTTATAATAACAATGAAGGTCTAAAGAGAAGCTGTCGTAAAAGGTGGCATTCACATTTCGACCACTAGTAGGCGCCCGAGAATTTCATCAGTCTTTTAGTCGAGGCAGCGTCACTCTGCTCTTAGATACCACTTCCTGGATACACTTTCAGGGAACTAGTCCTCTTGTATTTGTTGACGAACTGTGAAACCTAATTTTTTTTTCTCTCATTATACGCACCAGCACTCCTCTTATCCACAAAAAACGAATGAATGTGGCGGAAGTACAGATGATAACGTAGCAGGACAGGAAGGCGGGAGGGCGAAGAGTCAGGTATGCAACTAGGAAGTTATCGATTTAGCTTTGTGGCTAATTACATTGCACTTCATAAACTGCCTACGTGGACTTATTTACATTTACCCAAACGCTATTCGGGTAGCTTCTCAGCTGGTATTTTAGAAAACTAAATGAAGTAGATTGCGTGTTCTACCGAGCTGTCGTTGTGTTTCCTCTCAAAGCGCCACGTCACTGATCCACGGGGAAGAGATCAGACCGAGAGATCAGCCAAAACAGCACCGGTGCTCCGTCTCTGCCTCCTCAAGCTTTATTGGTTTCATAAGACCACTGCCCCGCACATAGCACCTGAAAATGACGGCGTCAAACTGGGGCCTGATCATGAACGTGGTGAACAGCATCGTTGGAGTCAGCGTGCTCACCATGCCCTTCTGCTTCAAACAGGTGGGTCACTCAGCTTTATTCCACGCAGACAGGCTGAGGTTCACTGAAACTGTTCTGATCCAGTGTTGGATTTGGTTTCTCACTTTCGTTAGTGTCGTATTGAAGTATAATAAATACTAACAGTTGTTGATGATGGCATGTTTTATGTGGACAAAATTGATTGTATTTCTCACTGTGGATTTTAACACCATCATTTGATTATAAATTTACTTTATTTGGATTTTTTGAACTGTTTTTTTTTTTTTTAGAATCTTGTGACCTCTGTGTGTGGAAGTTGCTTGTTCTTTCTGAACATGATGAATGGACTTTTACCAGATTCCAACTTCCTCTCCCCGTTCTAAAAATGCACATGTTGGATAAAAGAGTGGCTCTGCTGCTCCTGTGTGTGACTGTGTGTCCGCTCATGATTGAAATCAGCAGCCTCTTTCAGATTTTAGGTTTGCTATGTACAATGAGACAGATTTAGGAAAACATGCACAACCTGAAGCCTACACGTGTCCTTGTCATGTCATATCAGTCGACCAATTCTGTGGACACGTTATCTGTTGTAGCAGAAAAATCTTTGCCTGGTTATTTTAGGGGCCATTTTCTGCAGATGGAAACTTTTTGATCTTCTAAAGCTGGAGTTTCAAATACATTTTCATGTTGGGCCATATCAAGATCATCAATGTAATCAAATAGTCTGTAGTGGCAGAATGTATTTATGAAAAAACTCAATAACAAACTGTGAGTATTTTTTCAAATCAAATACTTTGGCATGTGCTATAGGGCAACATTTTTACAAATAAATGACATCTTAGAGGGCTGCACAGTGGCGCAATGGGTAGCGCTGTTGCCTTGCAGCAAGAAGGTCCTGGGTTCAATTCCCAGCCTGGGGTCTTTCTGCACGGAGTTTGCATGTTCTCCCTGTGCATGGTGGTTTCTCTCCGGGTTCTCCGGCTTCCTCCCACAGTCCAAAAACATGACTGTCAGGTTAATTGGTCTTCCCAAATTCTCCCTAGGTGTGAGTGTGTGTGTGTGCATGGTTGTTTGTCCTGTTTGTCTCTGTGTTGCCCTGCGACAGACTGGCGACCTGTCCAGGGTGACCCCACCTCTTGCCCAGAACGCAGCTGGAGATAGACACCAGCAACTCCCGACCCCAATAGGGAGAAGGGTGATTAGAAAATGGATGGATGGATGGATGACATCTTAGAGAAATATTGAGTATAGAAATACTTTTATTAAGGTTTTTGCATTCGTCTTAATTTTGGAGTAGCTAGAATCACAAACATTGGTCTGGATTTTCTCAAAAGCAAATTTTCTAGTTCAAATAAGAAAATGATCGACCACTGTAAACTGTTTGATAATGACGTAGTCGTGCTCCACCCTTTCAAATGTTTTCTATCCATCATGATCAGTTTTCTACAAAAATTCAGACTGTTATATTGCTTTCCAGAAAATTGTCACTTTTAGTTTATTATTGAGCATAATAAAAACGGCACAAAATGTTCTTTTCCAAAATGTTCTACGAAAACTCTAATACTTTCTGTGACCCCAGGTCCTTTCTACTTAACGAGTTTGTCGCTCACGGTTCAAAGTTTGAGCAGCACTGGTCTAACTTGTCCATTTAAACAATTCCCATAAATTCCGTGAAATATGAAAAGACCAGAAGTAGTTCTCATACTTCATTCGCTCTCGCGTTAGTTTCCTGAGTCACAGGAATTGAGTGTAAACGTTGGGTTTGATGTTGACCTGCCTCTCTGCTCCTCCCCAGTGTGGGATCGTTCTGGGCACTCTGCTGCTCTTCTTCTGTTCATGGATGACCCACAAGTCCTGCATGTTCCTGGTCCACACCGCCAGCAACACCAAGCGGAGGACTTACGCTGGACTGGGTGGGTAAACTGTGGGGCCTCCTTGTTGCCGCAGTAACGGAAGTAGCAGCAGTTGCGGTTTTGAAGAAGTGAGAAAGCCAGCTGCTCCTCCAGCCAATCTGAGCAGGATGCCAGCTCATGAAGTGAGTTTTTCTTAGATTATTCACGTCAATGTTTCCCTTTCTGCAGCCTTCCATGCTTATGGGAAACCTGGAAAAACGCTCGTAGAGACGAGGCAAGTTTCACTTTTTGTGTTTTTAGATTTTAAATGTTTTTGGGTTTTTTTCTTTAAAAACTCAGCAGGAATGAGAATGTAAAGTTAATCTAAGACTTTGACGTTTTAAATAAATTGAAATTCTTTTTCTGGTCTCTGCAGTATGATCGGTTTGATGCTCGGGACTTGTATCGCCTTCTATGTTGTCATTGCTGACTTGGGATCAAATTTCTTCGCTCAGCTGTTGGGTTTACAGGTTTGAGACTTATTTTATAAATCAACGCTAAGTCTTAATCTGCTCCCCTCTCTGAAATACACAAAAAAAATCTGTCATAAGCTACAGCAGGAGTGTCCAAACTTTTTTCACCGAAGGCTGAAGTCCTCAAGTTAGAAGTTCTCAGGGGCCAAAATTAACTTTTCCTCTCCAATCAAAAGTGCAAGCATATGATTGTGGTTTTCTTCTTAATCTTCACAACATTAAATTTAACTAGAACTGCACGCAGTTATCTAGTTAAATTTCAGCCTCACAAGTAATTTTAAAGAAACCAAAGTTAGTTTGACATTTGAGGTTGATAAAAAAAATATTTTTCCATTTTCCATTTAGAATAGAAATTTGCCAAAGCAAGCTGCAATCTTCATCAAAATTGCACCATTCTTCAAATGCTGTCAGGGGCCATAAAAGCTTATTCTAAAGGCCTCAAATGGCCCTTGGGCTGCACTTTGGACACCCCTAATCTGGAGCCAGCGAGTATGACTGCGGTGTCGTTGCTGTGCTGCGTTCAGGTGACGGGGAGTTTCCGTGTGCTCCTGCTGGTCGCCGTGTCGCTGCTGGTCGTCCTCCCACTCAGCCTGCAGAGGAACATGATGTCCTCCATCCAGTCCTTCTCAGCCATGGCTCTCATGTTCTACACCCTGTTCATGTTCACGGTGAGCCCAGTTCCACTCAGCCGCTCTCTGTCTGTCCAGTACATGTGAGGACCGTCTGTGAGGTCAGCAGGTTAATGGTTTGCACCAGCAAAACAGCCTCTGTATACATGAGTCAGAGTTTCTCTATAGATTGGGCTCAGATCCTGTTTAACAGCACGGTAGTTGGTCTTGGGTTCAAATCCCGGCCCAGCGTCTTTCTGCATACTTATTTTCATTGACTTATTTTTAGTCTAGAATACTTCAACTATTGAAGTATTAAAGACGAGTTTTCATTTAAAGCATCCATCCATCTCTTTTGCTCCTCTCTTCGTTCGTTCGTTGTTTGGTTTGTTCTTTCGTACTATTGATTTCTGTTTTTATTCTCGTTTCTTTGGTTCTTTCTGATTTTCTGTTTGTCCTTTTAAAATACTAATCAGTTTTTGTGTTTTTCTTTTTTGTCTGTGTGTTTTTATTCAAATGTGTCCCTCTGTGCTTCTTAAATGATTTCTCTTTGGCTGTAGCAGGATGTCTGCTGTGTCCTTTGCAGAAAATGATACAGAAATGAATAATTTGATGATGGAATCTTTGCAAAAAGGACCCAGAAAGGTAGACACTTTGTCAATGAACGTTATTAAGCAAGTCATTATATAGAACATGTGGCCTGGTTGATGCATTCTGTTAGAAGCTGCAAAGAAAACAGAAAGTTTCAGTTCTTAGTAATATTTCCTTCCTGGACAAACAATGAACTAACAATGAGAAATATTGCCACCTTTTAAATGATTTGAATAATTTACAATAATCCAAACCGGAGAGCTTTAGCTCGTCTTCTTTGTCTTCATGTTATTCCTCCGAGGAAACCTTCAACAGAAACCTGATTGATGATGGTTTCTGGTTGTCTTTAAAATGACAACCAGATGTTTTTGTGGCTGAAGTTTTGTTAGTGCAAACCAATGATAACTGTTTCTCATCTCTACCTTTAGACTTATATGACATTATGAACTAACAGCAGCTTTAGTTTATTATGTATTAAATAGTTTGTTGTTTTTATGCATGTAAAAACCAAATGAATCTAATGTGCCGTTCTGCTTTTCAGTTGGAGCTCCTGTTCTGTTTGAACAAATGTTGTTTTTGTGTTTTTCATGAATTGTTGCTTATTTGCTCCGTTGTTCCAATGCACCAACAAGGTACTGTCTTGCTCCTGTTTGTAAAGAGCAAATCCACACTAAGTCATTCAGGCAGAAGACAGTTGCTACACTGGTCTTTGGATTAAATCTGACCTTTAATCTGCCCAAGAGTTGATGCAGGCGCCAAAAGTGGAAGATGTCCATTTTACTCCAGTTTCACATGTGTTCTCTTCCAAGGATCAAGTTTTTTCACATGTGGTTTTAGAGTTTCCAACTTAGCAACTTTGTCTCTATGATTTGGCAACTTTTCAGACAAAAAAGGGATTAAATGCTTAATCATAATGAATCGATTATTAAAATAATTGTCAACTAGTTTTGTAATCAATTAGTTGTTTACTGGAGTAAAAAGTATATTTACACTGCTTTATTCATGCACACATTTTTCATTTAAGATGTAAAAGCAATTTTTTTGTATGAGAATATGTTCTACCTGAAACTCTTTAAGTGGCAGATGTAGCTTCAGCTGATTTAAATTCAGCAAAAAACAATAAAAAATCTATTAAGCATCTTTAGCTGTCCGATCATCACTCGATTAATCCAAAAATAATCAGCACAACATTTTGATATGTTGAGGCCCCACAAAACCTAGAGATGGCCCTGCTGTAGTACTGCAGACGGTTGTCAAGGCAACGTTCTGCAGCAGTACAGCAGAGGCTGGTCCAGCATCAGTTTCCTGCCTGCTGTGAGTTAGGTTGTGTTTGTGTTCAGCTCCGTTTTACTGAATTCCTCCAAAGTGTAACAACTGCCATTGCTGCTCTCTCTCTGTCTCTCTCTCTCTGTTGTCACATGAGTTGTGGAGCATGTCGGTAACCTAGAGCAGTGGTGCAGTGAGTTTAACTCTAGACTGGCCCGACCCGGCCCAGTCACCTCACCCTCTAATAGATGTATCTCCTTCCCTCCCTCTTTCCATCCTACCCTAAACTGATCTCCTCTCTCACCCTTCATCATCTAACTTTCCCGTCTTTTTTTTTTCCTCTCTTGTCCCGCCTCCCTTCCTCTCCTCTACCTAACATGTGCGCCCCTCCTCCCCCCCTCTGACTCTTCCCTCTCCTCTTTTCGCCGCTGTCTCTGCTTCTGGTGATGTAGATAGTGTTGTCGTCTCTGCGCTACGGCATAATCTCGGGCTCCTGGGTGGAGCAGGTTCACCTGTGGCGTTTCAAGGGAGTCATTCAGTGCCTGCCCATTATCGCCACAACCTTCTGCTGTCACCCGTAAGTAAACCCCATCCCCACCCCCAGTAACACCACGGTAAGGGCAGAGAGTGAAGGAAGCTTTGCTCTCCCTAAATCCTTCCTCATGTTCCCACCTGAACCTTCTGCCCACTCCTGTCCTTCAACCCTGCCATTCATTCACCTTTTCTGGTTGAGCTGTGTGTGTGTGTGTCTTTGGTGGCAGTAGTAGTAAGGCAGAGGGGTTTAACCGAGTTTTTTGCTACACCTCCACACAGAATGAATCATAGTGTTCTGGATGTGGTGGGTTTTTTGTCGTTGTTTTAAAGGAGCAAGACAAAGGAAACGCATGCTGGTGAAAAACCTGTTAGATTGTCGCCCAAAAGCCTCCAGTTTTCCCCAGCTCTCTATTTGACTCATTCTGTCCGATTCCGACGGGTTTTTCATCCAGGATGCGGCTTCCTTCCATTTCTGTCTCTTCATGTTTTCTGATTTTCTTCCCTCAATGATTATGACGACAAAATCAGTGAGCTGTCGACATGGACACCATCCTTCTCATTCCTCTACGTTCTTCTTGTCCTCCATCCATTTGTATTCATTTGGTCTGGGCTGTAACCCCTGCTCCCCCCCTCCCTCCCTCCCTTCCGCCTCCTTCCCCTCAGATGGTGCTGTCCTCGTTCAAACACGGGCTGCTCAGCGGCTGGTGGCTAGGGCAGGTCTATATGGTGCGCTGGGAGGGTGTTTTTCGCTGTATCCCTATCTGTGGGATGGCCTTCGCCTGCCAGTCGTAAGTACTCCTTTCCCGCCCATTGCCCTACTTCAGGATAACATCATAAAGCTGATTTGAAAAGTTTTTGTCCAGCTTCAAATTTTGAATTTATTTCATATTAGAACTTATTAGGTGTGGGCCGACCTGAGAGTCTCATAGTGTCATCAACTTGAGTAAAAAAAACAACAACAAAAAACACAGAAACGATCTGATTTTATTTAAAACAGAAATGTGACTATTATTTCTACTGCTCATTGTGATCTCTGTGAATGGAGGAATATGAACAGAAAAAAAAATGTTTTCTGTATTGAACAATATCAATATTGATATCAAGGTTTCAAATAAACAGTCCAGATTCTGAAATCTGTTGCAAAACAACAGTCCAAATAAAACATATTAATAACTGATGAGATTTATTGTCAAAAACATAAATGAAATAAATGCACTATTCCTTAAACCAGGGGTGTCCAAAATGGTTGTCAGTTGCCATCTATGGCCCCTGTGTTTATTTTTTTTATTTTAATAAAATAAAAAAATAAAAATAATAATTTTAAAAAGTGTTGCACATTACTAAACAAAATATTGATCTTTTAATAATCAGACAAATATCCAACAACTTCTATGCAATGCGGACTCTATGCACCCTAAGCTGCATTAAATTTGTTGAGCTGGTAACAAAAAAAGAAAATATGTAGCTATATTTATATATTTATTTTTCAGCATTTTTGATTAATATTATTTATATATTTATCCCCTTGAACTCTTTGGTCTTGATGATTTAGGCCTATGTGATAATGAGGCAGGGCTGATGTAATGGATTACAAGGAAACCAGTAAAAATGACAGGCAGCATACAGATGTTCCAAACCCCATACAGTACTGTACTGCATAAAATGGAAAATATGTTTCAGTACATGCATACAAAAATGCAAATTCATTTTACATCACTCCTTGGAGTCTCTTCTTCATCTTGTTAAAAAGGTTGTCTCATATACTGCCTGAAAAAAAATCATTTTGAATTGAAAAACCTAAAGTCTTCATTGTTTTTTCTTTAATTTGTTTCTCAATAAAATATCATAATTGATATTGAGAAGATAATTTGTGTCTTAATCATTAATAGTGATTGTAATCACAGTTATAGTAGCACAGTAATAATCATAAGAATAATGATAATCAGTTTAAACTTACCAGTCGAGCTCATTAATTATTAAACACACCTTGACAAGAATGTTTGGAGCAGGAAATGAGTCCCATTATTCCTGTATCTCTTCTTCACAAACAGTGAAAAGTGTTGTAGGCTTTTATAATGAGCCGTGTGCAGCAACATATGATCCATATAAGTAGAGAAAACTTGTCTTTCCCTGGCACCTCATTTAAAAACGCTCTGATAAGATTCTGAAGATTAAAAACTTAGTGTTCTTTGATACTGGCCCATGTTTAGTCCCTAAAGATAGTCCAGAGTAATTTCAGGTCTCTTTTTGTTTACTCGTGTCATTTTCAAGGATTTAAGGATTTAGGTTGAGTTTGTCAAGAGGGAAAAGAAGACAAACATTTGAGGATTTAAAAGGCAAGGTTATGTTGCAAAACTGTTTGCCGTAGTGAAATTTCTCTGCTCTTAAAAGCAAACATAAGCGATCAAAAACTGCCTTCGCATTCCAGCGAAGTTCCCCACAGTGAATCTAGTAATCGCTGGAGCAGCAGCCTCTCTGAGCCGCCACATTTCTTCCCTTTCATCCCTCTGCTGGCTCAATCAGTGCCTCCTTTGTGCCGGACTCTACCGTCGCTGCTTGCCATTGGTGTGCGCGGGTTGTGGGGCCGCCCGGACCGACCTAATGGATGGAGTTTGTGTTGGATGTGAATGCAGTGTCGGGGAAGGATTTAGGGGACTGTTATGGTGAGATCATTACGGGGCAGATGTTTGGGCGGCGGTGTTTTTGTTTTATGCGAGAGTAAGAGAGTAAAACTGTTGGGAGGGGGCGGTGGCTGTAAGCCTGGAGTCCTAAACCTGACTTGAATTAATGTAATGACAGAGCTAACTAAACATGGTGTGGTGGGTATGTGCATGTCACCCCAAAACAAAGAAAACATGCACTTGTGTGTGTCTGTGTGAGCGTTGTTGTGCTAAGTGATATTTGGCAGAGGGGTGGGTGGGGGGATTTCTTGGCCTGTGGTCACACTGAGCAAGGCAAGCACTCACTCAGCTTCAGCCAAACCACTAATCAACGCCTTGGACTGCCGCCATATTACAGACACACTGATGTATTCACGGGCTGATTAAACAGCTCTTAGCACATTGGATTTTTATTACGTTCATGAAATGTGTTTATTTTCAGCTAGAACATTACTTAACATCGCCATTATGACATGGTGGGAGCTGGCCCTGTGGTTTTTTTTTTTCTTTGGAAGTGGAATAATGTGGAATGCTTGGCTCGTCTTAGGGACACGTTAAAGTGTGCAGCAGAAGCCGTCCCTCTAGGAGGGACCGGTGGCAAAAGATCGGAAATCTGCTCAAAATGTCTGGGTATGAAAGGGTTATATCCATTATATGCAAAAAGTCAAAGAAACAGAAGTTGAGCCCGAAAGGTCCACGGAGCAGAAACCGAGCGGAAATAAAACTTTGATGGAACTAGTAAAGAATTATAGTTCATCCAGTTTGCACTTGGTACTCAGAAGTGAACAGTTCCAATTCAGAAAATCAAACAGTTTGAAAATCTAACTGAACTAGTCTGTTTCCCCCAGTGTATTATAAGCCTGGCGGGCCACCAGACTGTACTTGTGCCCCACCAGGCTAAGCATTCCTTTTTTATTTTAAGTTTTTTAAAAATGTTTTCATAATTTAAGGCTTTATAGTTGGTGTTAATCTTCCAACTTTCAATACTACATAATTATTAAGTGATATTTTCAATTTTTTTGTCAACTTTAAACATTTTTTAACTCAAAAACATGACTGGCTGCTGGATGAATGACTGCCCGGCACCCAACCACTGGGCTTAGCAAGTTCTCTGGGGGAAACCTTGCAGTCACAGCAATAAAAAGTGATCATGATTGGTTTAATGTATCACATTATCATCATTAAAGGCTACATGCCCCAGGTAATTTCCAGCTTTTGTGATGAACAAAAACGAGACCATAGTAAATAATTCCAAACACTTGTTCACCTTTCAAAATATTCATGCTGTGTATTTCAGCTCAGAGTCAAATCTGTTTGATGGATCTGCTGGTGTAAAAAATAAAAAGCTACAATAACCTGGCTGCATAAGCGTGCACACGGTGAAACGAATCCCTTAACGAAGCGTCTTCTGATTCAGTTTTAGCATCGAGTCTTCCTGTGTTGCACCAGCCACCAGTTACAGTGAATCTGATTGGCCTGGAATGAAATTCAGCTGAAATACTTGGATTTTTCATCTTCTTGCGATATGGAAAACATTTGCATTCTTAAACTCAAGCCATTGTTTTCAGACGGGTCACAAACAATCGCAAGAGTGTCATTGCACAAGAGTATCAGTCAGGAGAAGGGTACAAATAGCTGCACTGCTTTATTAATGCACCACATTTTATATAATGAATAGATCATTTTCACTAATTGAAGGTTTGCCAATAGCTGCTGCAGCTGCTGCGGTTCTCTTTACTGTGTCAAACAATCCAAACGTTTGCTTTAAAAAGGCGTGCACATTTATCCAAACATTCTCTTGCAGCTATTTTTTATTTGATTTTTTCCATTACAGCAGAATTGTGTCTTTGTGAGCTGGATAGAACAGGTCAAATGTCACATTATATGTGAGTAAAGAGTTCAGAATAATTTATCCTGATCTAATTTTTGTTTTTGTTTTTCACAGTGGCATGTTGACTTTTGAGAGCAATTGTAGAGGAGAAAAAAATAATTAATGCTACTGGCTTGAATAGCTAACGGTATCTGCAGCCAAAACAAGCTAGTTGTGTTTTGAGAACAAATGGGTTTCTAAAAATGTAAAAACAGCTGGTGTTTCCTGACTTTATGGCATTAGTGCTTCACGATTTTTTGGATTTATCTTTTCAACTTTTAACCTGATGCACAGTGAAACATGTCATTCCTGTAACTGTGAAGAATTCTTCCACCATGTCTCCCCAGTTTCATCAGAGGACATCAGCCTTCCAGGAAGGACGGTTGAGTGACCATTAGATGCTTGCTGTTTCAATTAATGTTGGCGGAAAGATTTATTGGCTCACACATTAAAAAAAAGTGCGAAGAGATAGCATCCTGGTAAGGCTGGAGCTAATAAAAATCAGAGTGTGTGAAAGTGAGACAGGCTGAGAAAGAACAAGAGGAGGAGAAAGTTACGGCGTCTTGCTTCCTGTCTTGTTTCTGCTCCATGGCTCTTCTTTTGTACCAAAGAATGGAGGTGAGGACGGAAAAAAAAGACTGCCAGGAAAGTTTCTAATGCTCTAAAACCTTCCAGGCACTGGCTTTTTTATATAAAGCCTGTAAATTTACTGGTTAATGTGTCAATGGCCCCCCTCCACATAACCGCCCCTCGCTACAGCACAGAGCAGGAAATGATGGAGCAATTTCACATTTTACCTCGGCCAGCCTTGACTACTGTCACCTACTCTGTGTCGCACACACACACTGTTAGCATTTTGTATGCCCTTCATCACACTTCCATCCCATGTCTTTCGTTTACAAACATTTTGCATGAACTGACAAATTTCTGGCTCTTCTTATCTTGACTTGGAAATCCACAGATGCATGAGCTTTGAGATGCGATTTTAAGTTCTCTGGAATCCAGACAGGAAGTTCTCTTAAGCGAAAACGTGGAAGACAACTTGCTCAGTGTCTGACGTATTACTTGTGTGATTTAATCCCAAACTGCAGAAAATCTCACTCAAATGCTCAGGTGTTTAATATTTCAGTAGAAGACAGTTGGCTTTTTCTTAAGATGATATACAAATGTATACAAAACTCTTACAGTGCCAGTTGTGAAAAAAGAGGTTTGTGGAAGAAAAATGTCAGTAAAAAGCATGGTAGTGAAACTGATGGGGAAAAAATCTTCCAGAGGATATCAGCATGTTTTTAATTTTATGTATTAATTAGTATTAGTAATTAGTATCAGCAAGAAATTGAAGAAACTCTAATATAGTTTTCATAATGTTGCAAATTGTTGTCAAAATACATTAAGAAATCGGTGGCTGACAGGAAGGATCACATAGACAGTTCTCACCTGAAGAACATTTGTAGTTTATAGGAATACAAATGTTCAAAATGTCACAACAAGATCTTGAGAAAATCATCTTTGCATTCAGCTTTAGTTGAATTTATCACTGCATATCATGTCTTCAAATGTCTGCCATTTGCAGAATGGCTGCTTTTAGCGAGAATTTTTTTTCTGTGGATATAAGAAATTGTACATGTTTTTACTTTGGCTTTTTAGTTAAATCCTTAGAAATGGATAATCTGCTTTGGTGACATTGAAAATGTTAATTTGATGTTTAAAATCAAAGCTAGTGATGTTTTCGTAAGTGGCTCCTTCCCCGTATGCAGATATAAAACGATGCAAACATTTTCCAGCTTGAAAACCAATATTGTTTAGGAGAAATATGAAAGGGAAGAAAAATCTTGTTTGGTCACTTAGATGAAAATTTTTCAAGTGCTTCAGATTTGACAAAACTCTTTTCAAATGAGGTATTATTTAGTTAAAGTCTGATCTCTCCATTTCTCATTATTTTTTTGGCAGTTGGCACTAGCTGGGCTTTAAATGTAACATTTTGCAAAAAAGGATAAGACAGAGGCTGAGTAGGTTTTTATTCCCCATAATGTGAAGAGGAAAATACAGCAGCCTGACTCAGGTAAACTGGAAGCACTACAGTTGCCTTGCAGTTGATGAAGGCTTCATTTGAACAATCTTCCTGATAAATTAGTCAAGTTTCAGTGGGATAAACAAAAGCAAGCAATAAGATCAGATGAGTGCACTTCTGACAAGGACAGGAGAAAAGAGATGCATCATTTGATTACTGAGAAGCACTAACGGGCCCCCATATGCCTGCTCATTAAAAAAACTTTACAGAGCCAATCCCGGTATTAAATCTGGAATGAGTGGCTGTGAAGATTGTCATGTTGTCAGCTGTCAGGATGAGAAAATAAACAACACAATTTCCTCAACATCTGTGGAACTACGCTCCCCCTGACCTCCTGAGTTAGATCTGGAACGGTGGAGTGCCTCCTCTCAGAGGAGTGTAGCTGTGTGATAGCGCAGGCAGCATGCGAGCCGCACAACAGCAGCTCCAGCATGGCGTTGTGTGGAGCGGCATGCCGAGTTTTGTCGTTTTTGGCCTGCTTGTTCCTCACAGGCAGGTGCTGCCAACGTACGATAGCCTGGACGAGCCGTCAGTCAAACGCATGAGCACCATCTTCACCTCCGCCCTCAACGTGGTCACCATCTTCTACATCACCGTGAGTAGAGCCAGCACTTCTCATCACACCTGCCACTCTTCACCTTTAGCTCCACCTGTGCTATTACAGCATTTGTTTTTAGCAGCAACGAGGGGTTCACTGATCGTAGTTTACGATCAGTGAACTACAGCCAGTGGCATTTTACAGCATATTCAAGTAACTAAATTTCAGATGTTATGAAAGTGCTACAAATTTCAAATAGAACTTTAAAAAAATTTACTTTGTAACTTGTCACTTTGAAATTGAGCCTCTATCTCTTTAAAAACTCCTACTCTTTATGAAACTCCATCTTTTAGGAAGTCATCACAACATGGGTCCTTTATTAACCCTTTGGTTGAGAAGTAGCTCCTATAATGAGCTCTGCAGATGTGCAGTTCCAACAGCTGTTTGCTAATTGGTGCTAGCTAGTCTGAAGGAGCTGAATGGGGGAGTTCCAGGTGAGGGCTACTCAGTGAGGTGGAAGCTTGGAAACCGCAGCTCGGAGGAGGAGCTATGTCTCCTCCGCAGCTCGGAGGAGGAGCTATGTCTCCTCCGCAGCTCGGAGGAGGAGCTATGTCTCCTCCGCAGCTCGGAGGAGGAGCTATGTCTCCTCCGCAGCTCGGAGGAGGAGCTATGTCTCCTCCGCAGCTCGGAGGAGGAGCTATGTCTCCTCCGCAGCTCGGAGGAGGAGTATGTCTCCTCCGCAGCTCGGAGGAGGAGCTATGTCTCCTCCGCAGCTCGGAGGAGGAGCTATGTCTCCTCCGCAGCTCGGAGGAGGAGCTATGTCTCCTCCGCAGCTCGGAGGAGGAGCTATGTCTCCTCCGCAGCTCGGAGGAGGAGCTATGTCTCCTCCGCAGCTCGGAGGAGGAGCTATGTCTCCTCCGCAGCTCGGAGGAGGAGCTATGTCTCCTCCGCAGCTCGGAGGAGGAGCTATGTCTCCTCCGCAGCTCGGAGGAGGAGCTATGTCTCCTCCGCAGCTCGGAGGAGGAGCTATGTCTCCTCCGCAGCTCGGAGGAGGAGCTATGTCTCCTCCGCAGCTCGGAGGAGGAGCTATGTCTCCTCCGCAGCTCGGAGGAGGAGCTATGTCTCCTCCGCAGCTCGGAGGAGGAGCTATGTCTCCTCCGCAGCTCGGAGGAGGAGCTATGTCTCCTCCGCAGCTCGGAGGAGGAGCTATGTCTCCTCCGCAGCTCGGAGGAGGAGCTATGTCTCCTCCGCAGCTCGGAGGAGGAGCTATGTCTCCTCCGCAGCTCGGAGGAGGAGCTATGTCTCCTCCGCAGCTCGGAGGAGGAGCTATGTCTCCTCCGCAGCTCGGAGGAGGAGCTATGTCTCCTCCGCAGCTCGGAGGAGGAGCTATGTCTCCTCCGCAGCTCGGAGGAGGAGCTATCTCCTCCGCAGCTCGGAGGAGGAGCTATGTCTCCTCCGCAGCTCGGAGGAGGAGCTATGTCTCCTCCGCAGCTCGGAGGAGGAGCTATGTCTCCTCCGCAGCTCGGAGGAGGAGGTACTTTGCACACCTGAGTGGTTGCCATGGAGCTCAAAGGATTTCTCAAACATGCTTGAAAGATTCAAAGCAACACTCCAGATATGTTTTTGATAAGGGAATAACAGAAGATGTAAAGCTCAAAAAAGTGGATTTTACATAATACTTTCTCTTTTGGGGGGTGACCCCATGTCTGAAACATTCAGACATAGGAAGAAGAACACCTTTATTTGTCCCACCCTCTTCAACATTACATCCTCTGCTTTCCTCTCCACCAGGTGGGCTTCTTTGGCTACGTCAGCTTCACGGAGAACATCGCCGGCAACGTGCTCATGAACTTTCCATCCAACCTGGTGACAGAAATGATCCGGGTGGGCTTCATGATGTCTGTGGCCGTTGGATTCCCCATGATGATCCTGCCCTGCCGTCAGGCCATCAACACCATGCTGTTTGAGCAGCAGGTAGGATCATGTTTTCACTCACCATCAGAAGACAGATTATGTGTGTCATTCATTGACAGACATTTGAGTTGAAGTTGCCTTCAGAAAGTATCCACGCCCTTGTGTTTTATTTCTTTTTACACCTTATTAGTTGCAACCTCATATTTCAGTGTATTTTATTGGAGAAAAATGCAACACAACTGCAAACCCACAGAGAGAAGAGATGTGAGAATGTCCAAAGCTGGTTAAAAACCGGCATTAAGTAGAGTTGACTTATAGAAGCCTGATACAAACAAGGCCATGCTTCAGTTTAACTATGTTCTTGTCTGTGTTTGTCTATTACATCACATTCCAATAAAATATGTTAAAGCTGGTAGCTGTGAAGTGTAAAAAAGTTATGAATACTTTGGAGAAGCACTTATGGAACGTTAATGATAGACTTGAGGTGTCCCGATGCAATATTTTCTTTTCTGATACGATACAGATATTACAGCTTTGAGTATTGGCTGATGCTGTTATTGACCTGATGCCATATCAGCACAGATGCATACCGGTACTTTATTACTAATTTTATAGTGTGATGTTGGCAAAGACTTGATGAAGTGATATTACTCAAACGGAGAACAATAGCCAACAACAATTGGTTTGAAAACAACTGACCCCTTTTTGTTTCTAAATCGATGGGTCTGTGTGCAGAAGGCAAGACAGAAATGCCAGGACAGGCTAAATACTGGAATAGTGCTTCCAACAGTGTGCTTACGTAGGAGATTTTGGATGCAGGCTGATATAATCCCATACCTCTTTTGGCTTATTTCAGACCGATTTATAATATAAGATCGGGTCAACCCTGCGATAGACTTCTTTCATTTACCCTCAAGACACAAAAATCACCCTCAGTTTTGTAGATTTTTAGTTTAGTTATCCTGAGTGGTAAATTATTATTTTTTCCTCCAACCTGACTTCTGGTTCCGTCTGACAGCAGAAAGATGGGACGTTTGCTGCCGGAGGTTACATGCCCCCTCTGCGCTTCAAGATGATCACCCTCTGCATTGTTTTTGGCACCATGCTGGGAGGCATTCTCATTCCTAATGGTACATCCTGTGTGTGTGTGTGTGTGCATGCGTGTGTGTGGCATGTCTGTGTGTGTGTGTATTTTTGTGGACGTCTTTAAGGTGCATGTGTTCCTTTCTGTGGGCGGGGTGGCTAGGGAGCTTTACGATGTGTGTGAATGTGACTTTACGAGTCAGTGACTGTCACACTCTAACACAGTCTTTAAATCAGGGGCCCAACTTTTATCTCCTTTTAGATGGGCTGATGGTGAGATAGGGCTGTTATTCTCCCCAGCTCTCTCTCTTTCTCTCTCTCACACACACACACACACACGCATACATAAAATCACACAAAGACAAGTTCACGTACACACCAATCCTGGCTCTCTGTCAGCTTCTTTAGGTTGCTTTACTGCTCACAAACAACTCCAAAATGGCAGAGATGAAAAGGTTGTAAGGTTAGCGTTACTTTCCACTTCATTTCATTGTTCAGTTAGTCGCTGTTTGTTAAAGGTCTGATTGGTTGAACACACATGTGGACATACACACAAGGGTGTGGGGTGTGTTTGTGTATCTAATCAGACTAATAGACTGAGGAGAAATGAGGCGAGGACCCCGGGGAGAATGGACACTAAACCTGAGCAGAGCAGAACAATCTGGTGTCTGTCCCCTCGATGGAGGCTCATGGGGGCCATTTCATTCACGATTGTATGATTTTTATTACTGAATCTGATAGAACTTTTTTTTCTTTTTAACTTTTCTGCATATTTTTACTAGACTTTATGCTTCCTGCTAAGAATTCTCTCATTGTATTTATGGCTGCTTTGTAAATTTAGGCCACACTTGAAAATGGACTTGGTGGTATGGACGCTCATTTCCACCTGGAAAAAAAATGTCCAACATAAAATTTTTATAATTATGAGATGGAAAGCCACTCTGTTTCCATAAAGAGGCCTGCTTCTATGGAAGCCCATTTCTCATAGTCATTACTTTAAATCTCAAAATTATGACTTAGGAAATCAAAATTATGACTGAATCTCAAAAATTGTCTTTAAAAATTTAAATTATGACTTTGTATCTCGTAATTTACTTTGAAAATCGAAATTATCACTTTGTAACTCAAAATTGACTTTGAGAGTCAGTTTTCAAAAGATACAAAATTATGACTTTTGTCATTTATTATAATTATAACTGAAAGTTGAAAGTATGACGCTTTATGCCATAATTATGACTCTGAAAGTTGTAATTATGAATCTCAAAATTGTGACATCTGAAAGTTGTAATTATGAATCTCAAAATTGTGACATTGAAAGTTGAAATTATGACTTCATAGCTTATAATTATGACTTTTAAAGTGGAAATTTTGACTTTCTGTGAGGCTTTTCTTTTTTCTGCCCTGGTGGAAATGACTCCCCATATCCTGGTGAGCTGCTGCTCATCTCTGTGTTTCTCTCTTAACAGTGGAAACTATCCTGGGTCTGACCGGTGCCACCATGGGCAGCCTCATATGCTTCATATGTCCCGCTCTCATCTACAGGAAGATTCAGAAGAATGGCTTCATTTCACAGGTTTGTTCTGCTGAGATTTTAGGCGGTAATCAACACAGAGCACAGCACTATTATACACGGGATTTTTACAGTTGAAACTAAATTTTTATTCATGTCACACTAAATATCTATTTCAGGTGATTTGTTATTTTTAGATTTTTAAATCAAAGAAAAAACTTGATCAAAACTTCCAACATAATAATAATAAATGTACATAAAAATATACTAAAATCCACATTTGCTAATAAAATGTTGAGGTTTTCGAAGCCATTGTGGAAGGTCCAAAGAGTGTCTCACAGATTGACCAGAGCAGCGTGTTGCACATGTTTTCACTGTTCCCTGCTAAAAGAATGTCTAATGACTTCTTGTCATAATATAGCGAATATGCAGCAATATGACAGATGCTATATTCATAGAACAAGTGGGACTTGTATTCAACTTTTTCACAACAGCCTAAATGGCCCAATTTCAATCTTTTCACCCCTCACAAAAATCTCATTTGTGCAGCTTCCAAATGTGCGACTAATTCAGATACGTACTTGATTGTTTTAAAAGTGTCTTCAGTCACAACGTTGCATTTAATCAGATTTTTATGTTGACGTGACATGTGCGTCATAATTCTGCACCAGAAGAAGTCAGGTCTGACTTAAACAACTGATGAAAAATAAAATCAGAATCATGAAATTGTGACAGAAGTTCCTCCACATTTGGCTCTGACTCCATGTCCAATCAGACTTCTCAACAGAGCCTGCAGTTTGTGCTCCACAAAAGGCCACTGTTATCAGTCGTTTGTTCTTTTTATTAGCTTCTCTCATCTTGTTTTGGTCTGGTGACAGTCCTGAAAGTTCCCACTGCTTTAAAACTCAGCCATAAACGTCGGCGTCCATTACTACTTAACCAGCGTGCTGCTGTGTGACATCTGCATTCTTCTTCTGCACATTCAGGTTGTGTCGTCCAGTGGAATGAAAAAAATCGATATTAATAAATCAGAATTGAGCATCAAGACCTGCTGTGTGAATGTAGCTTAATGATTCTTTTGTTGCCTGATTGTGAATCTCTACAGGGTTAAATAGTGGCTAAATGTGAAACATTTTGAAGAGGGGTGAATATTTTTGGTAAGCTGTGTGTGTGTGATGTCTGTGTGTCCTGTAGCTGGTCCTCTGCGTTGGCCTGGGAATCCTCCTGATCAGCACCTTCACCACCCTCTCCGTCTCCAGCAGCAGCCCCGGCTACAAAGTCCCGGCTCCTCCTCCCCCGGCACCCAACAGGAACATGGCGCCTCTACCAAACCTCCCCGACCCGCACGGTAAAGATCACGACTTCCTCTAATGGCTGCCAGACACTTAGCCACTTGATGGACTGTAAATGAAAGTGGTTTTCTAATGAGCCGTGGAAACATTTACCTCAGCGGGCCGGAGCCGAGGCCGGGGCCGTCTGCTGAGTGTGAGATTGGCCAGCACCACTGCATGCCATTATTTTCTGTAAAACGCACCAGAAACAGAAAGGAGATGCTTGTTTCTTGTTTTGCTTTCAAATTCCAAAGGCTTGTGCAGCAGACTAAATGAGCTTTGTTGAGAAAAAATGAGTCGGAGGCAAAGAGCTATTGAGATTAAAACAAAAAGCACAGAGCAGTAACAGAAGAATGTTATTTTTTCTATTTCCCTGAGAAGAAAAGAGACAGACAGGGTGACTGGTAGTCAGACAGGCAGGGTGAGGAGATAACCTCTTGATAATATCTGAAAGCAGCGCTCAGTGCTTGACATTGATGAAGCGGGATTGATGCCCTTCAAACTCCAGCAATTTCTCTCAGCCCCTCTGCCTCTGTTCATTTCTCTTACCAGCCCCCAACCCCTTAAAACACACCATGTTCAGCCTCTTCTACCCTTAAACCTCGTGTGGCAGCCAGAAAATGACTGCAGGCTCAACCGGTACCAAGCAAATGGATGCTGTGGGCTCAGAGGGAGATGAAGCGAACCAGTGAGACCCGGAGAACGTTGTTTTTATCTGGGTTTGCTGTTTTGTGGTAACACACAAGTAAGAATAGCCGTAAACTTCACAGTTCTTCATTATTAAAAAAATATAAACAAACCGTACAAAAACATTATATCCCCTATTTATTTTCTTTGAGTTGTTTATTTTGTGTTTCTTAAAGGGTGTCCCTCAAACAGTCTAAAGATTAAATTAAGGTATGAACCAATAAAATATGCACAATCACAGGTCTTACATTTTGTGGAGGCAGGTCTATTCAGTCTCATATGTAGGTATGTATGGTATTAAGATTGTTTTAATTTTCTGGTGGGGCTTTTCTGTCCTTCGAAAGTTTGAGTGTCACGCAGACATCTTCACTCCGGTCTGTGACTTGAGGTGGTTGAGGCTACTACTAACTAGCTGCTAGTAAACCCTAGCTAGCCAGCTAGCTTGTCTCCTAAGTGCCAGTTGGCCAGACGAGCCACCGAGTCACTTTTGTTGCCGTGACCCGTTGGATTCTATGTGCATTCTGTGCATTTCCTTTTGTAAATTTGTATTGTGATATAGGTCTTTAATTTCTTTCTGAAAAGTCTTAAAATGGAGTTGGTCAAACCTGCAGAAGCCTTATATTTGTTCTTTCGGAGCAAACAATCCACCTGCTTTCTGTTAGTTTGAAATCGTCTTCCCTCTTTCACTCTGAGATGAAGTGTCAGATATGTTGTTTTTGCATTTGCTGCCACCTAGTGGATCTTTTTAAATCAGCAGTTTGAAAACTAAGATACAGATGCATCTTCATAAATTGTATTATCAAAAAACATTAATTTTAGCAGTTTAAATGAAAAGGGGAATCGGTATTTTACGTAGATTAATTACACACGGAGTGGGTACATACTAACATTCTTATGAAGATTAAAACTCCAAAATTAAAATTTAGCACAGGACCAATAATACGTTGGACAGAGGGTCATTTACAAGCCCCACGCAAAAGTGTTCTGGAAGCAAGCTCAATGGTGGAAAGTTGAGTGGAAGGAAAAAGTAGCTTGATTTTCAAACACAAATTAACACAAACTATATTAGTGTGTGTTGAGTCTCAGTAACATACTGCAGGTGTTTGAGTTGATCAGGTTTTTCTTGTCCTCACAGATGATGCTCAAGTCAAAAAACCAGTAGAAATAGAGAAGCCCGTTCTTCCAGAAGGGAATGTGGTGCGGCCAGCGGAAAGAGGTGACGAGCCCCCCCAGATCGAAGGGCCCATGGAGAGGAAGAAGGAGGATGTGGTGCAGCTGGACCGCCCCGATGCTGGTAAGGAAGCTGAAGCAAACTGTGAAACGGAACCGATCCAAAGCCGTTTACGACGGCTTTCTGTTTGCTCTGCTGCAGTTGTGCCGGAGGGGGATGCCCACCGCCACGAACCACCCATCCCTCAGGACGAAGTGAGGGTCAACTCCAGGAAGGACAAACCAGAGCTGGAAGAGAAGAAGCAAGCTGAAGAAGGGCTCAAAGCAGATCCACAAAGGGATGAGCTGGGAAATGACGTCAGAAAAGAACGAAACGCCCAAGAGGCCGCTGGAAGGAAGGAAGAGGGGAAGGCGGGTGGACCGGTGGCGTCCAATGAGGTGCTGGAGAAGCCGGTCAGAGAGGTGGACAAGCAGGACTCTGCTGCACTGAAGGAGGCGGAAAAACCTGCCAAAGATGCGGCCAATGACAATGCAGCTGTAGCAGCCAATCAGGCAGCAGGAGCACCAGTCAAAGAAGTTGCCAAACAACCAAATGCTGCAGAAAAGGGTAAAGACTTAACAACTAGCAATATAGTGAATATGCAGCAATTCCCTCGTGTATGTTTTGTCCAACTTCCATGAAATTTTTGACCAGCTCCACCTGCTGAAGGAGAGCGTCACCCTGTGGCAGACGCTGGCGCAGCTGCAGACGGCGGTGCAGCCGCAGACAGCAAAGACACAGCAGACGAGAAGATGGACGGTAGGTTCAGCTAATTTTCTGAAAGTCGGAAAAAGTGAGATGTGGAGTAAAGTAATGTGACGGAAGCAGCAGTAGGATACCCGAAATCAGCCTCTGTTTTTATCAGTTTATCTTTGGTTGCAGCCGGATGCGTATCTGGGAACAGCACCATTAAATCTGTCAGACTCTCAGTTACTAAGTTTTAATAATAGAGCATGCTTTGAAATAGTGCCTTGCCTGAAGGCACATTAACGTGGTCACAGGGGAAGCTGGAATTAGACCCCAAACTTTCTGACTACATCCCAACTCTCCCCAAAACGACTATCTCAGCTGAAACAATGTGCTGAGATAGTGGACCACTCTGACGTTCTGAGGTTCAGGTTCTGCCTCCCTACCTGTCCTGGTTTCCAGGTACATTTCTACCCATTTGAACAGTTAAGAGGAAAAAATGTCAGAAACCCGGCCTGGTTCCCGAACTGCTTCCTGCAGTTAAAATGTAACTTTGTTTCTTCTCTTCCTCTCTCTTTGCTTGTTGCACCAGAGGTGTTAGACACGCGGCGATCTGATTTCAGTTCCTGATTCTTGGCACACTTGGCTGTCTGATGTGGCTTGTTCCCTCTTATATTCTGTTGTTTACCTTTCTCCTCCTCTTAACGCCTTTCCTTTGTTTCCTTCTCTCTGGCGGATTCAAATGGCAGTGATAAAAAAGCTGGTCGCAGGTATGGACTCCCTCTTTCCTTCTAGTCTCTGTGTCACAGTCTGTCGCCGCACTCACTCATCAGCTGATCAATAATCATTACTTTAACACGCGGCTCATTTTACTAACCGCTGCATTAGTCGACAAATGGTCGTGAACGGAGATGCACCAAGATGGAGATGGTTGGATTTTCAACTTCCTCTGCCCTGAATGGTTACTGGCTGGTCCAAGGAAAATTTCAAACCCTATTTTTAACAATGATACCAATTTGTTTATTGAACTTTTTATTTTTAATGATTAAAAAACTGCTGAAATAACTTTCTTCTGATGGAAAATGTCAATTATGACACAAAGTGTTAATTTGATGCCCAGGCTTTTTCAACAAGGCAACTTTTATTGAAAATTTGCCTTTGCTGCACCTGAATCAGCTTTTATTAATTAAACATAACAAGTGTTTTGAAAGAAAGTGACTCATATCCTGTTCTTGTAGCTGAAAATGAATTTGTTCACTCAAGTCCAAAAGAATTTGAAAACTAGGTACCCTACTTTTAATAAAGCAAAATCATTTTAAACGTTTGGATCTATGATGAACAAACATCCCCTGGCTACAAAAACCCAGCAACAAATCGGCCCACTTTCTACGGAGGCCCCTTAGGGACATGGGGAAAATGTTAATGGTCTAATTTTGTGTACAGCCAGAAATATCCATTTAACATGTAAAATTTATGCACATTTAAAGAGCTTCAGTGAAAATCTGTTCATTCTTAACTCTTTGGTGCAATAAATTGAGTGGAAATCAATTTATTTACTGCATGTTTGTCTATTGGTGTAAGGCTGAGATGATCATGAAAAGAGCCCTTTAAACCATTCAGACCATCAACACAAAGAGACACAATCAAAACTTTATTACCCCGTGAAAATAACTCACACATCGTCCAACGTTTGACCTGTTTTGCTTTTGCTGATATGTGTTTGTGGTGCATTTCTGTCCTACAGAAACAGACATAACCCTTCAGATATCTCACAAATGAGATATTAACATGCATGGAAGAAACCTCTCAAAAACCTTATGGCAGAAAGTACAGTGGCCACCGCAAGAAAGACTTTCAGTATTCAGTTATGTCGCGTGAACTGATCAGTATGTTATTGCAAGAGAATGCAAATCCTATTGTGAGGGAACGCAGAAGTTTTGTGAAGAAATGCAATAAGGCAGCTCAAAAGAAAAAAAAATCCCTAAAGGGCTCCATAACTTTCTGCTTGATTATACTTCCTCTCTTATTATTTACTTGGCCTGTAAACTCTTTTGACTCAATGATTTTGACTCACGTGACACAGAGTTGGACACCCGTCTTAGAGTTACGGTAAAGCTGTATGTTGTCCATGGAATATATGGAGAACCTACATTTCTACCCACATAACTACTAGGTTATTAATGCTAACCCATTAATCATTAATAATAGATACTACCTTTTTTTGTTGTCATTCTAAAACAAAAAAAGTTCAAATCCTTTTTAACAGCCATTGTTTCTCACAATGTGTCGTTTCCTTTGAGTATAAATATTAGCGGCTCTCGTCAGGAAGGCTGAAAAAAAAAAAAGTATGATTTCTAGATTTTGTTGTACTTTGAAGAATCAAACTGCTAAAAACTTGACCTGCAGGTGAACAACTGAACCTGGTGCATCTCTGTTAGTGAAGAAAGCCTCCACCCACCTTGTCCCCTAACCTGTAGCTTGAGTCCCCTCATTCCTGAGGCCGTGGTCTGTAACTGTGCAACTCCGAAGTGTGTCTTGCTTCAGTTGGATGTGTGTGTGTCCATGCAGAGGGCCAGCTGGACCACGCCGTGCTGCTGCAGGTCATCAAGGAGCAGCAGGAGCAGCAGAAGAGACTTCTGGACCAGCAGGAGAAGCTGCTGGCCGTCATAGAAGAGCAGCACAAGGAGATCCACCAGAAGCAGCCGGGCGGTGCGTACACACACACACACACACACACACACACACACACACACAGGGCCGAGGAGCAACTCCTGGACTCCCACAAGACGGCCAGGAGTGTTTAGTGCCATGACTTAATTCTGAATATATCTCATGTAAATGTTTAAATCCATCATTGCCATGATTTTAACAACTTATTGACAACAATAGTTCATTATTTATTTTTGTGTGTATAAGGAGCTCCAGATGTTGAGGCAGAAAAGGGAGTCCAGGACGAAGGAGCGGGGAAAGCCAAAGATCCCGGCGTGGGATCAGACCTGAAGGCAGCAGCAGCTGGAGGACAAGATGCTGCTGCTGCTGGGGAGCAAAGAGCGGCTCCAGCTGGGAACGCAGCAGGCGCTAAAGAAGCTGCTGCAGCTGCACCCGCTTACAAGGAGGACGACAAAGCTGCACCAGGAGGAGAGTCTCAGCAGCAGCAGAGCGAGCTGGGGGCCCGGGGGGTCCGGCTAGGGAAGAAGATATCCGCAAAGCCTCAGAATGATCAGGTTTCTCTGGTCAAAGACGAAGAAAGAAAACTCGATAAGGAAAAAGAAGCAATGGAAAACCTCAAAAAGGAAACACTGGACAAGGAAAAGCTGGAAGGAGACGGAAATAAAAACTCTGCCGGTGAGAACGAGCTGGGGAAGGAAAAACTTCAGTGGGCGATGATAGAGAAGGAAGTCCAAGCACGGCTGGCCAACGAACTCCTGGAGAAGGAAAAACGGGAAAAACTGCAGTTAGAAAGAGAGAGAGCTGAAAGGGAGAGGATAGAGAGAGAGAGAGCTGAAAAGGAGAGAATAGAGAAAGAGAGAGCTGAAAAGGAGAGAATAGAGAAAGAGAGAGCTGAAAAGGAGAGAATAGAGAAAGAAGTGGAGGCGCGAGTGGAAAAGGAACGGCTGGAACGAGAGAAGAGAGAGCAGGAGCTCGCCGAGAAGGCCAAGCAATCCGAGAGGCTCCGGGTCGACGATGAGATCAACAACAGAGCAAAGAGAGAGCAGGAGAAGAAGGAGACTCAGGAGAGGCTGGAGCAGCTGCAGCGGGTTCTAGAAGCCAGAAACGCCGAGCAAGACGAGAGCAAAGCTTTGAAAAAGGGAGGAAGAGACCTGAAAGAGAAAGCTTCCTCTGAGACCGGCCCCGGGGCCGACGCCGACCCCGGGGCCAAGGAGCAACTCCGGGACTCCCACAAGATGGCCAGGGATCAGGGAGAGACGGATCTGAGGCGCAGGAAGAGAGCCCTGGGGCCCGGAGAGGCCGCAGGGCTCCCAGGAAGATCCAGAGGGGTCCACGGCCTGGAGCCCCTCCTGGAGCTGGGGGGCCCAGACCTGCATGCTGCCCTGGAGCAGCAGCTGCTGGCCGGGGGAGTGTTGCACTCCAGACAGATTAAACAGGCCGCAGTGGACGATGGAGCAGAATGACACACACACACACACACATTCCTCCTCTCCAGCTTTAGAGCACAAACCAGCAGGACCTCAGAATTGCCTTCATCAGCCTCTGATCCACAGCCGACCTAAAGTCTGCGCTACAGTCTGTAAATATTAACTTATTTTTGTCTCTTATGAACATTCTGGAAAGGTTGCTGTGTAAATAGAAATATCTCTATGCAAAATCTATCATTTCTGAGCAGGAATATTCTGTATTTAATGTTAATATTTGTGTGGATGGAAGCCGCCTCCACGTTTCACGCTGTCGTGTTTTTGTCCTGTTGAACCCGGTTAAGGCTCTCCTGTGTGCATCGCAGCCTGATGAACGGCGCATCAGCTGCCCGTAACTCTTCCTTGGTGCCTTCCCTTCAATATGCTGCAGAACAGACTAAATGTGCATTTTGTTTTCCCACACTTTTTTCTCTTTTCTCCCTTTACCTTCATTTTTCTGCACAATAAGAATATAATGAAGGCGATGAGACGTGCGGTTGGAAATCTTGTCTGTATTTTCTGGTTTCTCCTGTGAAGATCAAGGTCATTTCTACAAGCAGATTTTTCTATGTGTAATATTTTGCTCATAAAAAGATTCAATAAAAGACATTCAACATTATTGATTGCTCGTTTGTATAAATATCGACTGAAAGAAAATTGTTTGTCTCCTATCACAACACCACATTAATGCCCCACTTGGAAGGTTTTCTCCCACAGATCAGTCCAGGTGTGTCATCTGGTTTTCTTCTTGGCCTGGGAAACAAATGATGAGAAAAGCTTTTCGTTAATCAATAAAAACACCAGTTCCACTATTGTGGACTGTAACTTACTGCGTTTGTAAAGCAGGTCTTCAGTGCCTCAAACTCTTTAGCACACAGATCCTTCTTCAGCTCCTGTTTACCAGTTGTTGTTGTAGCAGCAACACACTGACCATAAACAGCTGCCTACAGCAAAGGAATAAAAAGAAACAAAAATAAGTTGTATTCATTTTTAATCAAATTGCGGGGAAGATTTAGTTTCACCTCTAAAGTGGAGTGTCCATCTTTATTCACTCCAGTTATGGTGATATGTCTATACAACTGTGTTTTGAGGTGGGGAAAACAAAACAGCGAATTTCCACCACAAAAAAAAAAAAATAGATGTTGGTAATTTTCTAGAAAACGTGTGCTAGTTTGACAATGAAATGTAGAAAATTATAAGATTTTCAAGAAAATAACGGGGTTTTTTTGGTGGAAAAGCTTTTTTCTTCTATTTGCGATGTCCCTGCTGTACTGTTTGCCCATCAGGTTTGCACATCTCAAAAACCCACATCTTTGCCCTTTCTTCTTTGCAAAAAATAATAATAATAATAATAGAAGCTTTGTTGGATTAGAATGAAAAGTTTTGGGAACGTTTTTTTCCCGACTTTATTCTTTTCTTTGGATTCTGTGTCTCCATACAGGTGGGCTGTTTTTTTTCTTTTTTGTGTTTTTTTAGGATTTTCACTAGATTTTGGATACATAAAACAGATTTACAACATCCACACTTTGCAGTTTTGTGCTTTAAAAAAAAAAATCTTTCCAATTAAGTGCTATTAAATCACTCCCCTTTTTCAAAGTGCAGCTCACGACGGAATTTGTATAACATGACCAATATCAAACCTATACAGGAACATGAAATGCTTTAAAAGGTGCAAATTTTTGATATAAATTTACGAAATGAGACTACATCAGTTTTAATTAAGGTCAGAATACACAGTTGAATAGATAGTTAGGAAACAGTGTAACAAACAAACAGTAACTAACCCAGTTTATCTGTTACAACATCCTAATGAAGGACCAGCAGGTCATCATCAAACCTCATCAGGTCATCATCAAACCTCATCAGGTCAGATCTCACCTCATCTGCGCACTGAGCGACCAGCTCAGTGAACTGTCTCAGTCTCTCTCGGCTACGACTCCATACATTGGACCCCGACATGCTTTGTCCTCTGTGTTTCACATCAACAACAGTAAAAAAAAAAAAGAAAGAAAGAAATTCTGTAGTGCCTGTTGGTTTATTAAACTCACGGACAAACCTGTTTCAAACAAAGATATCACCCAGTAGATAGAGTATTCATGCCAGCCATGGACAGCGCCATGTTGCAATCTCTATTACATGAAGGACAAAAAAAAAAAAAGTCCGCCTGATACTCTAAGTCTGATTGGCTGACATAGCTGTCAGTCAAAGCGATGCCCGTGAAAACGTTATGGGCCGGGAGCTTTTCTTTCTACCTGATTCGCTGATTCCCCATTTGAGGAGAAGTCAGTACGCGAATAGACGTGAAGTGATCTATTTACTGCCTTCTGATTGGCCAGCTGTCAATGCTGACCCCGCCTTCCCAGATTAGCCGGAAAATGAGTGACACGCAGCTAGGACTGCTAAATCATGGCAGCATTTATGGAACGTTTATCTTTCCTGCAGAAAGTAAGTGAATTTAGCTCGTGTTGAATGATGACCGAGCAGCTTACACAGTAGAGGAAGATGACAAGTCGGCGCTAATGCTAACTTTCTCTCCTTTAACGCCTTATCCTCCTTGTAGCTTCTTGCTGCTAGCATTCAAGCTAAACACCTAAATAAGTTTATCTTGACATATCTTATTTTGTCAAAGCTCAAAGTCACTGAGTTATTATATATATTACTATTAATGACTTTTCCGTCTCCTGTGTGTTAATATCCTAATAGTAGTAATAATAATTCCAGATCCCCACCTTGATGAAGGCAACAGCAGATGATGAAGCTCCCTGTCCTGGCTACCTTTTCCAGGAGATTGGTAGTATCCTTGTTTGGCTGTTGGGTTCCTCCAGGTTTTTCCTTTCAAGATCTCAAGGCTATTCACCCCCTTTGAGCCCTTGCACATACAGTGGCATCATAGTGACACCCCAAACTTCTATGGATATATTTTGGAGGGGATTTTATGTTAATGGCCAACATCACAAATAATATTATATCTCTGTTTGGTTTTTTCTTCCTTTTTTTCATCTTTTTTTTTTTTACAAATTAAAGTCAGGACAATTCTTTCCTTTCTTTGCAGAAGAAGAGTATAACACTTATAGGAAGATGCTGCCATCTTCCTATAAGTGTTTTTGTATAAAAAGTCAGTTTTGGTCCCATTTGACCACAATGCATTCTGTTTCTTACATGTTTTGTAGTAAACTGTTAACTGTTGCTTTTTTCCAACAACGAATCTCATTCTGCCACTCTTAGTATCTTAATTGACAGATTCTCCGGTTTGATGTGTTTGTCTCTGCAGCTCCTCCAGAGCTGGTGGCCTCTTTTTTCTGTGTCTTTATTAATTCATCCTCTTTCCACGTTATCATGATCAATTGAGCCGTTTTCACTGAAATGTTTGGCCTCATAATTTGCCCGCGGGCCACACATTGGTCATCCCTCGTCTACAGGCCGCTGTTTTTTTTTTTTTTGTGTGTTGTTTTTGGGGTTTTTTGTTCTTTTCTTTTCAGTACAGTGTTTAATAAAATAGAAAATCATTTTGGTAGGACTGGATTATACAGCTGAATTTTATCACTTCATATCAGTCAATATTTACAATTATTGATTGGTGCTTTGTTTTGAATATCTGATATACTGCCTCATTGGTGACGTGAGCTTTCATTATTTTATTCAGTTTTCTCTCCATGCCGTTGTTTTTTTATTTTTAAGCAGGCAATGTGGCAAAATATTAAGCTGCTGCTGCGCAAATTATTCGACAGGTTGTTGCTAGGTAAGTTAATGTGAGAGGTTGACCAGCTAAAGCCTTACCTCTGCCTACATCCCCCAGAATGCTGTGCAGATCTGAATTGGAGTTCAGTGAAATTATTGAATATTGTATCTGTTGATATTGATCGTGGTTCTATCACTATATCTATTGTTATTGATTTATTGTCCAGCCCTAGATTTTGTGCAATTTGCATAAAGGGAGATGAATACAAATGCCTGCCACACTTTCCAGATTTAGAAAAGCTCTTTGATGAAATGTTATGTTTGATATTTTTATCATTTTCAAGCTGTGCTCATGTAGAGAGTGCTGCTCTTTATCGATACAACCCTTTGACCTTTAACCCCGCTGTTAGAAATCTGCCATGAGTCGTCTGGTTACGGCCAGTGTTTGCTGGAGTATCTCCTGGAGAGGCTTCAGGTGGAGTCGTGTCACGTCAAACTGAAGGTGAGAGCGACCGGCGCCAGCCGCGCCTTCCTGTTCTCTCAGTTCCTGACGCCTCTCCTCTCCTCCAACCAGGTGCTGAAGATCTTCATCCATCTGTGCGGACACGGCTCAAAGCACTTCCTCACGGAGCTCAGAAGGAACTCCACCTTCATCCAGCAGGCGTCTAGTGAGCCCCGCCCCTCGATGCTTTCAGGAGCTTCAGGCTCCACGTACCACCTGAACTGCAGCAGGTTGTTTACATTCTGTAAACTTGCCTTTCAGTTTACAGCGGCGCTCCAGATCCCGTCCACGGCACGGCGCTGTACCAGAAAGTGAGGAGTGCAGCACAGGTGAGCCGCAGGATATCATCTGACTGTTATCACAGTTACAGTCAGATGATGGAGCATCCCACTCAGCTCCTTCAGACTAGCCAGCAGCAATTGGTAAACAGCTGGAACTTCTAATTTGAAATGCATAATTTTATAATAACTGAAGGTAATATAGATACTTGATAAAATGGCATAATGTACCTTGAAAATACATAAAACTGCTCATTTAAATATACTCATGTATTTATTTATTTATGTATTTGCACTGCCTTCCAGAACTGCTGTTTTACATTTCTTTCACAATAAAGGGATTCTGATTCCAGTGACTGTAAGTTTGAACTGTTTCCTTCACAGGATGTGGCCCGTTTACTTTTTACGGACGCAGTTTCCACCAAAGACTGCATCGCCCCTCCCACCGCAGGCCCAGCATCTGTGGGTCAGTATACTGTATGTGCTGTTTAAAAAAAGGGCATTGTGATGTTTCACCTCGGAAACCAACACTCATCAGTGTGTTTGTGTCCGTTCAGGAATGGGGTCAGCAGGCTCCCAAAGGTCGGGGTTGCAGGGATTCGGGTACAGTCCGGGGAAGCAGGGGACGGGTAAGGGACTGTGGTTTGTTGCTCAGTCTGTGGAAAGTTCTCCATGATGAAGCTTTGTGTGTGTGTGTGTGTGTGTGTGTGTGTGTGTGTGTGTGTGTGTGTGTGTGTGTGTGTGTGTGTGTGTGTGTGTGTGTGTGTGTGTGTGTGTGTGTGTGTGTGTGTAGACAGCGACACCCTGCTAGATAAGATCCAGAAGGCTGCTGAGGTGGTGGCCAGCGCCGTCCTTCCCCCCACTGAGCACCAGGGCATCCGCTTGCATGAGAACCACTACCGGCCAGTCGTGGCGCCATCCGCGCCCATAGAGGTCGCCGTGGCAGCGTGCGCTTATAACCTGCCCACTGGCAGAACAAAAGGTGAGACATTTGTGTTGTTAGTTAAATGATTGCTCCTTCCTCCTCTCAGTGTTTTATTACGCGTGTTTGTTTTTGTTGTTGTGGTGAATAATTGCGATGTGGACAACGACCCTGAACTTACAGCATATTCACGTATTAGAATGACCCAGTCAAAGTCCCAACCTGTGAAACAGTGCGCCAGCTTAGGCAATTAACCAACTTTCTACCTTCTGTAAGCCGATGCAGCAGAAACGTAAAGATAAATGAATCCCTTCGCTGTGTGTTCCTTCACCACCACAGCCAGCCAGAGATGCCCAGGGCAGGTGGGGGGCGGATGGGAAGAGACGGACAGCAGCAACGGATCGTCTCACAACTCCTCACAGGACATGGCCGCCAACAGCAGAGCTTCTGCTGGCAGCAAGTCAGCTGGCAGCAGGAGCCAATCAGGAGCCAGCAGAGAGAGTAACGGTGACCCCTCTGAACGGTCAGTAGCTGCTGTTAAAATCCGTTAGCCAGACATGTTGTTGTGGTTTTTAACTGAGTTTTACAAACGGAGCGAATATTCGTCTCCGCCTCAGCAGAACTCATCTAACTACATTTGGTTACATTTTATTCCATCATCTTTAACCAAAGGACAGGATAAAATCCAGACCCACTGGAGGTAAAACTAGGGAAAAGCACTCATCTGTTTTCATTTAACCACATTACTGACTAGATAGGCACTAGATATCTGAAACAAACCTATCATATGGTTCCGAAAGGACACTTAGGAATTCTGAATATAATATAAAATAATAAGATAAATAATAAGGCATGACATCTCTGAGCTTTAAACCGTTAGTTACTTTTGTGGTCTGTGATTGTACACATTCAAGTCTCTTAAGTCCTCTATCTGAAAGTGACATTTACAAAAATGCACATTTTGTAACTTACTGTTATATTTTGTTTATAACTTATTGTGGAAAATTTAAATTGAACATTGTCACCATAGATTTCAATTAGCATTGACAGAAAATTGAATAGCATGTTAATTTTATACTTTTTTTCCCCTGGGGCATCAATACATTTCAGTAAAATTGAAAATATTATTAAATGATGTTTCATTTAATCATTTTAGTGACATAAAACATGGTTTATTAAGCACTGAAGATTCTTATATCAAGAGAATATTTTTCTAAATGAATGTTGCGCCACACTGTTACCCCAAACATTTTTCTATTACTTTTGTCATCATCACATCAGTATCTGCAAACTATAATGATAAAATGCTAAGTCACTGTCAATCACCCGTATTTGAAATCTAATAAGTCAAACATTTTGATTTCTCTGTCTATTTTGTGAACAATAACTCATTTCAGTAACATAAGACTTCTTTCTGTTCCAGTGGCTTTCATGCTCTCTGTGTCCAGCTGGTCTTTAACCGGCTTGTCTGCGTCAAAATGTTCTGAATTTGAATGAGAACAAAACCCAAGTCATGTTTTGTAGACACAGACCGACCAGGGGAACCGCGTCACGCTCGCCTCTGCAGCTTCCTGCTTGACTCTTCTTGGAACAGAACAGCCTCTGCTCTGGTTGCCTAGGCGATCTGGCTTTTGCTCAGATAGACCCAAAATGCTTGGACGATCGCTGAACCAAACCAATTAGATATTGGTATTGCATAGCAGTGGATTGCTCTGTAAAAGCCTTACTCTCCACATGTAGGACCGAAGCGCTGCAGCTGGGGGACTGTGGTCAGGAGATGGCTCTGATCAGCAGACTGACCGAAGGATCCAAAGTTTTCCTGACCAGAGAGGAGAGTCAACATTTCCTGAAAGAGTCAGTGCTTCTCTTCTTCTTCAAGCTGCTCTCTCTCTCTCTCTCTCTCTGCTTTGTGTCGTCTACTCTAATGTTTCTTTCCATCCTTCTCAGGTGTTCTACTCTTAATTGTGAAGTTGTGGTGGAGTTGCTGTCAAGCAAGCTTCAAGATCTATCATACACAGTTAAGATGGTAATAAAAACACCTCACAGAGATTTCCTTCATCTTGGGAGATCGGCGATAGGTTGATACTTGAGAAAGCGAGCTAATCTACCGATCAAATCCAGGATTTCTTCTACATATAACTGATAGTGGAGTAAAATAAAAGCTGCCATGAACTTAAATATTATGAAGCATTAAAAGTTACTTTAGTTTTAAGACCCAGCCCTGTCAGCTCCTGCCTGTCTGCCTGCTGCAGTTACCTGCTGCAGTTAGCTGCTGCAGTTACCTGCTGCAGTAGTTACCTGCTGCAGTAGTTACCTGCTGCAGTAGTTAGCTGCTGCAGTTACCTGCTGCAGTAGTTACCTGCTGCAGTAGTTACCTGCTGCAGTAGTTAGCTGCTGCGTTGGTCTCTGGAGTGTAGAAAAACTCGAGCCGATTGTCTGAAACAGAGGGAGAGAAAAGGTGAAATAACCTAATGAAGGTTAAGTTGAATCCATTTTTACTTCAAGCTTGTGAAAACGGCCCTAACGTTACCGTATGCTGCAGTGACGTAGTTAATTGATATAGTTTGTAGTGTTTCAGACACGTTTTGAAGGCTCCCTGGTCATGGTATTTAATCAGGGTGGTGTCATCCCACTGATGCAAACTTAGTGACTTTTCAGACCCCCAAAAAATGATTCCATTCCAAAATTGGAATGAGCAGGTCAGACTAAAGATCGGTGCACTCCTTCTGACAAGCCTCCTGTCTGCTGTGAGAAGTTGTTCTTCCTGTGAACCTGCGGCTCTCTAATCCTGCAGCGGGCTCTGTGTGCTGTCGCCTGCCTCATGACCTCCGACCTACTTGCTCTGGAGCAAACATTCAGAGCAACTCAGCTCAGACTCCGCCAGCTCAGTGAGGGCCCTCCAGGACCAGTGGCCAACAAGGCTACCAAGGTAAGAGAGGAGGACGGGGAAGGGAAGGGCTGAGAGGTCAAAAGGGTTTGAGATTAGGTGAAATGCTTATCGTCTCTCTGCAGATACTGCGACAGTTTGAGGCTCTGACGGGCGGACCGCCACTCTCCACAAGACAAAACGTGACACAGAGCAGCCATCAGACAACGCCTAATCAGTGTCACCCCTGTGCACACTTGGAGAGCTCAGAAGCAACAAACTCAGCCGACACCTTCTCTGGACCTAATGAGTCTGAACTCTCGTCCAGCATCATCCAACCGCAAAATCTCCCGTCTTCGTCTTCCAGTATGGATGAGAGTTGGAGATGCTCACCGTTAGAGCAAATGGACGATCTGACCAGCAATAAGGTTGAGTCGGTCAGGACTGCTGGAGACCCAGAGCTTATCGACAAAGAAAGTCCCTGTCTTACCTCTGAACGCGAGAGTGCACCGGCCAATCAGAGCAGCCTGAGTCTGTTTAGTGGGATGGAGCTGGTGACCAGGGGGACGGCGCTGTCCGGACGAGGCGTCCCGCACGCAGAGTCCAACAACACAGACGAGAGCTGGAGCGTGACTCAAACTGGACTTAATGCTGAATGTTCACAGAACTCCTCTGTGGTTTGGATTGAAGACAGAGAGGAGGAACCTGCAGGCTGCAGTCCAGTCTCACTGGATCCAGAACCAGTGTCTGTTTTCTCCTTTCTCAACTCTTGACTACCTGCTGCTCTTCTGTTCTATTCTGATGTCAAACATATAGCCTTTCAGAAAGGGTTATTTTAACTTATTTTTTATTTTAACCACTTATAACTTTACCCCACGTGCAACCAGTCAGGCATAACATTATGACCACCAATATGGATTTTTTTTTTTTTTAGAGGTGCATCGATTGCACCTTTCTGGCCAATCACCATTCTTTAAAAAGCTTGGCCTACCAAGTCCAATTTGGCCAATACCTGGTAGTAAAAAGTACCTGGTAAACTTTATGCTCACAAACAACACCTACAGATGCCTTATCGATCGGGCTGTTTACTTGTAGGAATCGCATGAACTGAGTTATGTCCATTATTGTCAGGATTATCCCATTTTAGTCAGCATCCATGTTTAGTAAAAAACATCAAGTCGGTGCTGGAACAGACATTTTTCAGTATCAATATGTGGAAGTGTCTTCTGTCCTAGCAGGCCTGACTCAGGAGCCTTTATTTGTGTCAGTATTTTTAAAATCTCTTATTCTTTTTGATAACTGTGGGAAAACTATCAGAATTTGTTTCTCATTGTCAATGATTCAAAGGTTTTCTGGCTCAAAATCCCTTTGAGGCTGTCCTGGTCAAGTTCTTCACTATGACAGCCTCCTTCAACTTTTAAATGTGTCCCCTGTCCAACACACCTGAATCAATAGCTGAACTACATCCAAAAAGTGAGCTAAAAATGTGACTTCAGGTGGTTTGAAGCAGAGTCTAAAAACCTTTAAGGACCAGAGTTTGACACCTGCGCTTTAAAGGATCTTTGTGCCAGACACCAAAGCAACACCCTCAGTTGAGTCCATGCCTTAACCGGGAGTGGCTGATGAACACACGACCTGACTACCTGACAAGGGTCATATTATTATGCCTGAACAGTGTCCCTGTTAGATTCACTTTTTTTGTGTCCATTTGCTGCTTTCAACAACTAACTCAGCCAAGAATCTGACTTGGGGAAACTACAGAGAAGCATGTCTGTCCTGACAGGGGGACTGAGGGTTTGCAGACTTTGATGCCTTAGGTTTATTTTCTGTGAAGTAAGAGAACAGCTGGGGTTTGATGAAATAACGGGCTTTCAACATGCCTTACAATGTTGAAAGGCAGTAAGCACAGAATCAGAGATTCAGAGAACAAAGATTGTTATTCAGCTCATGGTTGTTTTATCTCAGGAGTCTTCTTTTTTTTAAGTAACAACCAACACCTCTGGTGCATGTTATGTTATGAACCTTTAAGGGAATCTCCTATTTGTGATTTGCACTACAGATGCTTTTCTTTTAACCTCAAACCTGGGAATGAAATTAGTCTTCCATATGTTTTGTTACTAAGCTGTTATGTGGGTGTGAATTTTTCTTTACATGAAGAAAATTGTAGTTGAAAGGTTGTAATGTGCATGATTTAAAATTGAATGGATTATTTTTTTATATCTGGGGTTCTGAGCCTGTGATGGGACAAGTGTTCCCGTCCGCAGACTCTTCAAATGTCACGTTACATTTACAGACTAGCGAAGTGCAGTACAACTTTATGTAAAAATAAACTGCTTCAGTGATCACAAGCCATGCTGCTGAACAATAAAACATGCTGTACTTTTACTACAGCACAACCTCTTCATAAATGCTGCTTATTTATTGCTGCTCTAGACAAACTCTTAACTTAAATATTTAAGAGGAATGCATAAAAAATTAGCCGTGATGCATGAAATAAAGTTCTACGGTTGCTCTAAATAATTGTGTCAAATACCAAAACACCACATCAGATTTGCAGTGAGGTTTCAGCTCAGCATGGCACATTGTAGTTACTACACTCAAAATGTATGCTTTTAAAAGTCCAGCACCTTGCTCACGTTTGGTTTGTGTAGACTGGGATTCTCATGCATTTTGTGCAGCCATGTGCATGTGAGCAGATAAAAAAACAAAGAGGAAAGGCACAAAATCCTCTTCTGAATCTGTTATAATTCTTAAATCAAGATTTAAGAATCACTTTTAAGTTGACAAAGTGTTTAGTCATTCCTGACTTTGTTTCTCTGGGGTATCAGCAGCAGAAGCTGTGCTTCCATTACAAATGTGTGCACATCTTAGTCGCTGTTCTGCTAGTGTCAAAAAAACACGACTGCAATTACAGCGTCTCCATTAACTAAGATTAAAGATCGCACACGAATAAGTTCTTAAAAACATACCACCTCAACATCCTCCTACGACTTCCTGTCGTTATCTTTGTGGTTTGCGCCAGCGGCAACATCTGTTTGTTGATCATGTGACTCTGGCGCTTCCATTGCAGTCTTGAGAAATAAACCAATTTAGGACAGTTGAAGAAGTTGGAAGGAGATGTCTCAGTTTCTTTACTAACTGGTTGAAATCCTAAAATCCATTCCTTAGATTTAAAATGTCTGAACAAAGAATATTTTCATTTTTCAATGTTCTGTTATTTTCTCAACAAAGTGTTTTGTTTTAAATAAACACTTTGAGTTCACGCTATGCATGTCGATACCATGCCGTCATTAAATTACGCCATGAAAATGTCATCAGCCACTAAATTTTGAAGATGACCAGCTTCCTATTTAGAAACACGCAGCCGACTGGAGTAAAGTGCATACCTTTATTTCAATTCACAAGCACCTTGGATCATTGTCACACTTCTGTTGTTATTAGCACCAATGAAGAATGTCCATGCACCGACGCACGCATGTAAAAACAATGATACTTCTTGATAAAGTGCACAGGGTGCTTACACGCACTCACACCCACACATCAACACAGCACGAGGAAAAAAAAACAAAAAAAAGGACACAATGGCGAGGCCGTGGAAGGCGGATGTGTATGACGTCGTATCAGAGCCGTTTCTGAGTTTCAAAAGTTGGAAGGTTTTCGATTTTTGAAACTGAGAACTTCCAAGTTTCTGAGATTACCCTGAAAATTTCTGAGATTTTTCTAGCAAATTTTCGACTTCCCAAAATCAGAAATTCAATTGTTTTTTTTCTAGAAGAAAAAAAAAATTGCGATTACAAATTTCAGATTTTTTTTCTTTACGAAAATTTACTGTTCCTTTTTTTTTTTCTAACTACGATACTAATACGCCGTGGAAGATGTGCTTATGGTCTGAACCAATGATAAGACGAGCTGAGCGTCTCGTCGACCCGCCTAACTTCCCACTCAAACACACGCAGCAGACTCCACCCCCGACACCCCGCGCCAGGATGCTGTGACGCCGTCAAAGGCTTCAGCACTAAATAAGAAGACAGAAGAGGGCAAAGGTCACGTCGAGCCCAGCCACCCTCTGGTCTGCAGGCTGCTGAAGTGCGCCTCCCGCAGGACTCTGTTGATGTGGTCGTAGGAGGCGCTCTGCCCGTAGCCATGGAGACGGCGCTGCCAGGAGCCGGCCGAGTCTTCACGCTCCGGTCTGCCGCAGTTCTTCTGGTGGCGTGCGCTGGGCCCGGCGCTGGGCCCGGCGCTGGCCTCAGCTGCCCTTTCTGGACTGCTGGTTCCGTTGCTGCTGTCGCTGCTGGAGGACTGCAGATGCACACAGAGAGGAGGGAGAGCAGGAGGAGATGCGGAGCTTTAAATAAAATATTCTCAGCTCCATCAGAGAGTGGTGCAGTTCCTGGGAGAAGCAGAACTCTACGTGTATCAACCTGTAAATGTCCACCGTTTCTCCTGACAAGGAGATTCATTACATTTACAGCTCTTTAATAGAGTATTCACACGCCATCTTAAAACCATGATTAAATGCATTTCATTGGGATTTTATGTGATGAACATAAAATTAATGAATATTTGTGAAATGGAAGGAAGATGATAAATGGTTTCCAATGGTTTTAATGCAAAGTAAGCATCGGTTAGTTGGGCTCTCCTGATAAAGTGTTTTCACTTCTGATACGATATCGATGTGGCAATTTTAAGTATTGGCTAATACCGATACAATATCAGCACAACTCATACATACTTTAACTACTCATTTTGAGTTCAGTCTGTAATGTTTGAAAAGACTTGAGAAAGTGATTTTGTCCAAACAGGTGACATCGCAAACAACAGGTAAAATGAGTTTTTTTAAAACCCCACTTTTGGATCATCTACATGCTAAGGAAAACTAATTATCACTCACAGGGTTGCTGTGATTTTATTTTTCCTTCTCAAAAAACCAAGTATGAACTAATTAAAGGAAACAAATGAAAGTAGGTAGGAATGGGATGACGAATCCCAAACCTCCGATTTGTTCATGTTTTCCATGAAAGGCAGTTTGCTCATCATTCTGGGCTCAGCCGAAGAAAATGCTTTGTTTACTCTGAGCAAAAACAGCAAACACTGGACCTCGGCCACGCTTCTCTTGAAAACACTTGTTGTGTTTAACCAAGTTTTAATAAAGCAGTTATAGAAGCAGATCTGACAGCACCAAGGTGGATTTTGGAGTAAAGTCAGTGAGCAGAAGTTACCATGAAACCAGAAAACCTGGAAAAGATGATGACTTTGTATTGAGTCTAACATTTGTGTAAGTAGATTTAAAACATTTACTGATGCTGGCTGAATACAAATTCAGACTTATCTATCAAAATCATAGATTTTGACTTATCATAGATAAGTCAAAATCATAGACTTTGACTTATCTTTTTAACCACTTGAGTGGTTAAAAAGATAATATTTTAACCACTTGAGTTTAGGAAAAAAACTCAAGTGGTATCAATAGTTTCTGCAATGCGCTGCAGAATGAGGAGGAACCTGTGAAGCGCAGCGCTGACCTCAGAGTCCAGGTCGGACACCAGCAGGCAGGGATCCGCTCCTGACCTCTTGGCCTGGGGGTTCAGCTGCTGCTCTTCAGCGCCGTCGCCGCTCCGGCGTCGCTTCCTGCGCAGAAACCGGACAAGAGTGTGTGACAGCGGGAGAACCAAAAATAGAGCCACACACTCATATGTTCCACATCTGAACACACCCAGAGGAAACTATAACGTCTCAATGAAATGCAGTGAATGACGACACTCATTCCGTTACCTGTTACCAGTCAGCATTTTTGCAGCCGGACACGGGTGATATTTGGCACCGAGTGGAGAGGCTTTGACAGCGGCTCGGTTTCAGCAGCATTTCTCGGTGGGACTCAGTGGAACATCCCCACCAGTCTCACCGGGGAGCCGAATCGGTACAGCTAACACACCGGCCCCCGCACTGGGTCGTCCGGCTCTCTTCGGTTCTCCGACGTGTTCTCTGAGCGAACCCACAGAACCCACTGCTGCGTGTTCTCGTTCACGCAGCGTAATCTCGGGGAACTCAAGGCATGACGGCGAGAAGGGAGCGAGCCGACCCGCAGCTAACTACTTTAGCCAAACACTTCTTCCGCTTTCGTATTCACACCGTAAAATGACGTCGAGCTTCTATATGAGGCTCGCGGGGGGTCGACGAAACACAACAACAGATAAATTAGGAAGATATTAAACTCAATTCAGGAAGTCGTTTAGTAGCACCGCTTCAGAGAGCCGCTTCTCTGAGACCATGAAGTTGGCATCAGATTCAGAACTGGACTTAAGGAATATTCCGCTCCGTTCAACGACCATTAACCGATCTGATTCAAACTCTTCTGGAATGGTTACAAAAAGAAAAACAATATTGCGTTTTATACTCTTTTCATATTAAATAGTTTGTGATTTACACATTTTTTTTTGGAAAACAAAAACATTGAAATGTCTAGTTTTTGAGCCTTAATCAAAATCACAAACTGTGTTGTACAAAGTCTGTACTCAATTCAAAACAATCCAGTTCACGTATGTCTATTCTTTGTATTTCACTATTAAATGAGCGGAATTGCGCTTTAGTGAAGTTTCGGACTTGGCACTACAAGATTGATGCGAACTTCAGCCTGGTTAAGACTCCTCCTCTGTGTTTACTCTGCGTCACCAGGTACAGCTGGACGTTATAATACTGGGCTCATTTGGATCGATATTCGGAGCCAACAGATGGCGGTAGTGCAACAAAAATGGATGCAAGCTGCGGTTAAAACCTAAAGAAGAAGAAGCTGGACGTTAACGCCATGGTGAGCTTTAGCTAGCTCCTGTTTACAGCTACATTTTCCACCTACATAGGAACTATTTCTAAAAACAGGAAAGGTGGTGGAGGTGACACATACCAAACATTTTTCACCACCCGCCAATCACAATCAAGAAGCAGAAAGGAAATGTTTCATTACGTCGTTAAATTAGGCATTATCCAGCCAACCGAGGAAATTTCACTCAATTAGCATAGGTTAGCATTATGCTAAAAACAAGCACAGTGTTAAGCAGCTTCAATTCAGGGGTCAAATGAAAAATCTGGAGAATGTGGCAATTTCTTTTATATGCTTAATAGGAATAACGAATTACTAAAATAACTGTTACACTCCCACCCTCCATAAATTTCTTCTACTTTTATGAGATTTTGATTCTTTTGCAAGTGGGGAAAATAAGGACTGACAGTTTCTAGCTCAGTGTTCAGTGGAGAGCCGCCCAGTCTGGCCCCGCCCCTCAGAACATTTGGATCCGCCCACTTTATTTGGAGATGGGGCTACAATGACCAGAAGAATCAGCTGATCTGCTGTTGTTGCAGAAACATGACCAGTGTGACGGCGCCACTCTGATAAAAAATATTATCCATTATAATTGGGTCCTGCCACAGAAATGTATGGAAAGCATCATACAAAATAACTGCCGCTTCCTAATACCTGCGACCCGGACCACTGCGTTCCCTCACAATATATGTAGTAAAACGTGTGGCTTGATCCCATGAGGGGAGCTGTTGCTTTTGTTGGCATTTCGAGTATCTGTGGCGACATAATTAACAAAAAATGAGCCAAATTCAAGTCAAAACTAAAGACTAACTGACACAAAACAGTGTCAGTTTCACTCAAAATAGACAGAATTTTGTCTCCCTCTGAACTGCTCCTTAGAACTACAGTGATGGCAGAATGTCAGAATTACAAACATGGTGGAACAATTGCTATAAACTCATTGCATATCTGAATAGCGCTGTTTGTTATATCTTATATGCATATCATATAGTGGTGGCTGAAGCAACAAAAAATCTAGTGTGCTCTGGACTTATGATGGAGTAAATGAACACATATTCATGACATACTTTGATGAAATTCATAAATTTCAGTACTGAAAAATTAGCTTTATACCAGGTGAGTCTCTCTAACTTGAGAATGTGAACCAGTACTGGGCTGAATGTGAACCAGTACTGGGCTGAATGTGAACCAGTTCTGGGCTGAATGTGAACCAGTACTGGGCTGAATGTGAACCAGTTCTGGGCTGATTCTGTGCCTCCAAATAATTTTAACAATGCTCCTGCAGAAGATTCATAACTCATAACTTATAAGTCTGAAACAGGAAGAGGTTTGAAAAAACAGTCTGTGTGCTACACATGAGAGAGAGATTCATTTGACATCACTCTCTGATGTCATTGTTACCACTGAAGCTGAACATTCTAATGGTGCAGTCACACTAAACGAGTTTTGAGAGTCAGGCGATTCTGGTTTATATTCAAGGTCTATGTGGAGTGTTGGATGGGCTTGATGTGTCAAACACTCCAAACGCTCAAAGCGCCTCCACATAGACTGAATGCAAACCAGTCTGACGCATTAGCAACGTTAGCTTCAGATAGTAAATCAGCACCCACCAGTTTTAACACCTTTTCAACAAATCTGTCCCCAACATTTGAACTACTGAGTTATCAGTTAGTTGAACCGATGCTGTAACAGTTTCGTTTGAGAACTCAAACTGTGACTAGTACTGTGACTCTGCGTTGGGCTCAAGGGGGAGCAAACAACTCCAAAACCCAAACAGAGAAGCAGTCGATGTAGTTTATGACAAGAGAGTCACTTTAAAACCGTCCTGTTGTCTCCATAAAATCCGGGGTTCAATAATTGCCCTTCAATGAAAGTCATCAGTCAGAAACCACAGGTTGGTCTCCGCTTACGACGCCGTTTCTGGTCGACAGTCCAGAGCTTTTGGGTCGATAAAGGGGGAAAAAAAGGGAAAAACAACAAACCCAAAACAATCTAAACATGCAAATCACGACAAGATGTAAAAGTAACATAGAAAAACACAATTATATTTTCCCCTGTACATCTTGGCTCTGAGACAGAGCCAAGATGTGACAGAGACAATCCTTTGTTTTCAACAATCAGTTGAAAACAAAGGATTGTCTCTGTCACATTGGAGCAGTTAAAGACGGACTTACAGTTTATCAGCAGCCACCAGTTTTAGAGCCTCTTCAGCAAATCTGTTCCCAACAGCTGAACCACTGAGTTATCAGTTGGTTTGAATTAATGCTGTAACAGTTCAGCTCTCAAACCGAACTGCTACAGCATTATTATCAAGCCTGTAACAACCACCACAAGAACTTCTGCCGTCCGCAGCTTTTTCCGCAGACTGTTCTCAAAGCCTTTAAAGGCCTTCTTCATTTGTTCCTGCAGCAGCTCGATCATCTTGGTGCTGACGTGTTCGTCCTTTGTTTTCTACAGGTTCTTTAGCTGCGAGCTGCTGTGCGTTTTCTTCAGCTCGTCCAGCGCTTTGCTGCACATGCTGCTCCGCTTCTTCGACATTGTCGTAAATTTCTTGGGTATCGTGAGACCTTCTGCCATCTTGTCTACCATCTTGTGGATGAGGGCAGTTTCCTCTTCGCCGAGCTGCTCCAAAGCTTTCAAAGCCCCGCAGTCGATCAGCAGCCAGAGCTCCAGGTTTGCTGCGAAGAGCTTCAGCTTTTTCCCTTCCAGTACATTCTCCATCGGGTCAGGAACATCGGGACAGTCAAAAAAGATCCGTTTTATGTTCATCTTCTCGCTAAAAGTCTGCACGACACAATTCCAGTGTGAGAACTCTTCGAACTTCTGTTTGTTTGTGAGGAGCCACTGAAAAAGACGACCAGTCAAAACCTGTCAAAGCCTTTCTGACGCCGTCATTCAGTGACGTCATGTCAGTGATGTCATAGGGCATGATGCCTTGTCAAGTCTTCCGTTTTTTTGGTCGGGAAATGAACTTGCGCATTTCAGCCCACTTGAGCTCTGCTTGTCTTCTGTTGTTGAAAGAGCAGCGATGTTTAGTTCAGGCAGTAGATCAGAGATCCCAAGAGTAGTGGCTCGCAGAATTTGAATGATGTGAAGCACAATTGCTAGTCCACCTGTGTTTAAAAAAAAACAACAAAAAAAGTTTTTTAATTGGCCTGGAGAAAATCTTTATTTAAATCCAATGAAATGTTCATCAACTCCTCCAGTAGATGAGAAGAGTCGATCAAAATTCCACCACGGTGATGTAAAAGGCACCACTAACGATTGCAAAGCTTTCTAGCAACTTTATCACAACTGACGATCCAGTTGTTACGCATTAGGTGCTGTTACTTTTTCCCAGTTTTGTTTGGATAACTTTTCACCTTCATAAAATTGGGAGTCCATCATGTAACCTGGCCATATCTCGTGACCTATTCACCGTAACTCATACCTGTCCCCCTTGTTCCTTTGACTCTTAACCTCCTGACCCCCAAGAGAAACAAACAATTTCTGCCTCTGTCCCTTCCCTCTGTCTCAAAGTGTCAGAAACTCCAACTACCTTCAAATCACTACTCAAAACCCACCTGCTTAACCTGCTCTATCCACCAAAACCCCTTTTCAATTTTCAGCTACTTGTTTATATTATCTGTCATTTTTCTTTCCTTGCAAAGTCTCTTTGAGATTTCTAAAAAAAAATGCTATTTAAGTTTAATGCATTATTATTAGTATTATAGTTATTATTATTAATAGTAATTCTTTATTAATTAATATGTAAAGAAATTCATAAAAAGTGAGAAGAACCTGGGTCAACATATATCAGTGTATATCTGTGGTTGGTTGGCGCTTAAAAACATACTTAAATTGAATGATTGTTTCTATTGTAAAGGCAAAAGGTGCCTGCCCAAAAATGGACTTTTGTTTATCTACAACATCCCTGCTGAATTATTAATAACATACAGCAAAAGCAATTCTGCTCCAGTGTCTTAAACTCTTCAGTTTGTATTTTTTATTAGTGTTAGTGAAGCAGTTCTCTTTAAAGACAGCAACAAGGTAAGAGGGGAGAAATTACTGCTACGCTGTGCTGGGCTTTTCCTGCAGTAAAAGTTTGTTTTTATTATTCTGATATAAATTCATTCTATCTCCCCGACCCACAGATGAACGTGGTCCAGCATTCTGAGGAGAAACTCCGCACGGCTTTGGTGTCTAAATTACCGGCTGTGGCTAAATTATACAGCGACTACACAGAAGCAGAAAAGAGTCTTCTGGAGGAAGGACTGCACCCTGGGAAGCGAGGGTCTCTTTTCCAGCCCATCACTCTTCACTCTGACTCGGACTGGATCGCTGCTCATCCTGAGGAACCGCAAGACTTTGAGGCTTTCTATAGAGACCCTCGCCGCAAGACCCCTGATGCAGGCCACGACACTATTTACATACAAACTATAGGTGAGAGAGCTTGTGCTGCAGGTGACTTGAACTTTTTTCATTACTTGTAAAATGCGTTTTTCTTAGAAGGTTGAAGATTGTCAAATAAATTCAAGAGGTATCACTGTGCTTCCCAAGACCATAAAATTGTGCAAATTGAAATTACAGAAATAAATATGCTTAATGAAAGGAGGCCAATTTAGAAAAAAAGGAATAAAAAGTTGGATAAAAAGTTTTTCTGCTGAGGCCATATTAACATCAGTGTTTTTCACAAAACTGCAATGGAAGCACATTTTTCACATCACATGAGCCACGTGATCGACAGCTGGATGTTACTGCTGTTGGAAAAAAGTGAAGAAGACAACAGGAAGTGATAGACGGTCGACATTGTGGTGACAAACTTATTTACAGGATTTAAACTGTATTTCTTTCCTAATAGAAATATTGCAATTGTGAAATTGTGTTTTTTCGACATGAGCAAAGTATCAACAAAGTTTTGAGCACATTTCCGATGAAAAAATGTGTAACAATAGCTGTTTTTAAATCCACTAATGCCATAAAGACACAATTTCGCCACTGTGATGTTTTCTACAAATAAGAGGCCAAGAAACCACCTCATTGTAGTCCCCAATTTTTTTATTTATTGTTTTTTACCAAAAAAAAAATGTATTTTTTTTATGGGTGTGTTTCAGTTAAGCGAAATATTTTTTGAAATATCAAACCGTGTGTGTCTGTTTGCAGGTAGTTTTGGAGACGAGGGACTCCAGACAGACCAGTATGTGGAATGGCTCAGAGATTACTGCCAGGCCTTTTTCTGTGGGCTTTCTGTTAAGTTGCTTCCAGCAGTCAGTGTGTCTGAAACCGGATGCTCCTTTAGGGTGAACAGCAGCTCACACAACCTGCAGATTCTCACAGGTAACGCAGACATGTCTCTTTATCCAAGCTTTGCTTCACAATGTCAATTTCCTATTATTCCCCTTCAAACACAACCTGTTTGTTGTTTCCCTTTCAAACAAAGGTGACTTGTTACGGTTTCTGGGGAAAAGAAAACCAAAAGGTGCTTTCTGCATAGTTGGAATCACGATGATTGACCTCTATCCAAAAGACTCCTGGAACTTCGTGTTTGGTCAGGCTTCTCTCAGTGACGGTGAGCTTTTTGTCGTCATTAAGAAAAATGTACAGCAACCACTAGATGGTGCTCAAATGTAAAGAGTGTGACTTTAATTTCCACCCCCATCAGGGATGGGTGTGTTCAGTTTTGCCAGATATGACGACCACTTTTACTCCAGAAATTATGCTGGGAGGCTGAAGAAGAAGCTTCAGCCGAGGCAGGGAGATTACTCTGTGTTCCAGGGATACTACACTCCTCCCATCACCAGCACTCTGCTGCTTCGATCCTGCAAGGTCCTTAAAGGGCATATGGAGTCGTTTTTACACATTTCCATTTTCAGTTGCACTCATATTTTTGGCTTACGATAGTTATATTCATTTTTTATGCTTGAAGTTGATTAAAAAGTTCTCGGTGCGGAATAGCTGAGAACACAGATGGAAGTTGCATTACGCCACTGCGTGATGACATCATATTGAGGAAGCTGAACTCGACCCCTGATTGGCCGATTAGAGGCAAGAGGAGAAATGTCTGACAGCTTGGATGCCTATCAAGCTGAGACCCCCACCCAGGGATTTAAAAGATCAGTCACAGACAACACAAAATCTCAGAAATGTCCAAAAGTTGAAAATTCTTAACCTTTGAAGCTCATACATTTCTAAGTTTCTTGAAAAAAAATTCTGAGATTAATCTAAAAATGTCTGAGTTTTATTATTTTTATTTTTTTCCAAAATGTACCAGTCCTGTTTTTTCTTTCATCTACAGTGACCCTAACGTCACATTTTCTCTTTCAGTGGTGGCATTTTTTTATTTCAGAAAAGTAGTACTCTACAACTACTCTATTGTGAAAATAATTGCGAAGACGTAGTTACATTTTATGTCTTCAACACTTTAAGGCCCTAAACATGTTTAGAGATAACTCTCCCAGTTATCTGTAAACTGCGTTGAGTCTTTGTGTGTTCAGTGCTTTGAGTGCAGGTGTTTTTATCTCACTACTGCTGTTTGTGAATTTGCTATGATACTGTGTATGTAACATGCTGTTGCAGACCATTACCCATGAGATTGGCCATATGTTTGGAATGAAGCACTGCCAGTGGATGAACTGTGTCATGCAGGGATCGAACCACTTGGAGGAGTCGGATCGTAGACCACTGGACCTCTGTCCGATCTGCCTTCACAAGCTTCAGGTCGCAGTTGGATTTAAAATTGCTGACAGATACAAGGTAATTTACGCTCAACTATTCAATGTACAGGAGGCATTTTCATGCTGTAATGATGATGAGTGCAAAGTAACTCAGCGTTGTAAGTGTCACTGGTGTTAGAAACTGATTACATCAGCTTGTTTTCTGGTAGTGTCTGGGTCGGTGTTCTGCTCCCTGACATGCCTGAGTTCACATGGTGGACTGAATTTTAACCTCACTCTGCTGAGCTGTTACATCCTGAAAAATATCTTTCTCAACATCTGCTTGACTTTTGAACCCCAACGGAATGCTGTGAATTTCCGCTCCGCAAGAAAGTTTTTCTGTAACAATTTGTGACATTTCTTTCTTTTTTTCTCTAAACATTTTAAGGATCTTCTTGTAGTTAAATTATTCTCTTCTCCTTCAGAAATTCTTGAGGCATAAACCCCAGTATCCAAAAAAGGATTAAAAAAACAATGTTAGATTTGAACATTTATTTCAAATTCATGGTCTGTTTTGAGCTCCATCTATTTCTCAGCTTTCCCTGCCCTGCTTTAAAGCTGCAGATTGTAACAGACAAAAAAATATTATTTTGCACACATTTGTTTTACCATGTTGTGACAATGTAGCATGAGACAGTCAATCTGTCTCCTCCACCTCCTTCCTGAGCTGCTATTGTGATGTGTAGAAACACAGCGCACCAGGGCAGAAACAACCAATCAGAACCAGGAGGCGGGTCTTAGCGCCGTCAATCAATTTCACTGCTGAATGTGCTAATGGCGGAGAAACAACTGACTGTTCCGGGAAAACCTCTTATGCACCATCAGTGGTTATGTTAACTAGCCTTAGCATTGGGTTTGTTTTTCTTTTCCCTGACGTGAATCTTTGGTAGATGATACTTTTTCACCCAACTCTGACCACCTCACCTGGCGTTTCAGCAACAAGGAAGTTCAAAGTGCCTTGTTGTTTCTGACTGTTTTATATTTTACAAAAACATAAAACCATCATAAATGCATCATGATGAAAACAAGTAATTTGCATTTTGTCAAGTGCCATTGGTAAAATCATCAAAACACATTAAACATGTTGGTTTACGTTCCATTGCAGAACTCTAAACAGGTGGGTGTGTAGTCTTGATTTAAAGGATCTCAGTGTTTCAGCTGTTTTGTAGTTTTCTGGAAATTTGTTCTATATATAACCTGTTAATCTGCTGATTAGAGACTCTCCCAGGACTATAAGTATCTTTTTCTCTCTCTCTCTTTTTATAAACCTTTTAGAAACATTTTCTTCTGCTGGTATCAAGTCCCACATTTTGTTACTTTGTTACTTTACTTTATTTGTTTAATTAACAATACTGAAAACCATTTCTCCTGTACATCTGTCTCTGTTAAATGAATGGATCACCAAAAAAACCAATAAAAACACCCCTAAAGCAACTTTGCCATGATTGCTGCTCATTAGGTTGAACTTCCAAGAAGATTCCATAAATATGACCGGCAAGGTGCAAGAAATGATTTAGTTAGTCATTGATAAATGGATGGTTACTGTGTTCTTCAGTGTGATTATACCATATTTTGGGGGAGTTTATTCATCATCACACTATTTTTACTCTGATTCTTGTGAGTTATTTTTCCTGTGTGTTCAACAGGCTTTGCTTTGCTGGATGGAAGACGATGAGAGTCAGCTGTCAGAAGCAGAGGGGGCGTCTGCTCACCACTCTGCTGTCCGTTTTCACAAACCCACCGAAGCCTTCAATGAATCCCGGCTGTGGCTCCGCAGCTGTTTGGACAGACTGGAAATAAGTTAGCAGAAGTGACTGTCAGCTTTCATTCAGCTGAGGAAGAGTTTAGTTTAAGCCTCTTGAGGTTGTACCTGTGGCTCAGTGGGAGGGTTGGGATCTTGCAATTGGAAGTTTGCGGCTTCTGCATGTCCTGGGCATGACACTTAACCCCAAGTTGCCTACAGCTTGGTGTATGAATGAACATGTGAAATACTCAAATGACATCTTTTAGGCTGATTGTTTCGTCTTCATTTGGCTCAAACACGAAGAAAAAAACAAGTCACAAGTGCAGCTGGTTATCACAAGCAAACACGAAAGAGCATCATTAAGATATTTTTATTGATTTATTGTGTAAACTGAGGACTTCGACAGATGTGTCACACTGATGGGACACGTTAAAAATAAGAGGGAATGTGGATGGACTGTCTGTCATACAATCAACAGAAGAAAGAAACTGAGTTAAGGGGCTTAATATCACATTTAATTTTAGTCTGAAATGCAAACTGCAATCTGATGTGTTTATGCTCATATTAGCTTTAGCAGGTCATTTTGCATGGATGAATGTGTTTATATTATGCAGGCTCTTCAGTGACTGATGTGATCAATACACGAGCCATCGCTTCATGACACAAAAATACACCTGGAACGCTTAATTAAGAAGTTCAAATCACATCATTGCTTTATTGCAATTTAATGCATCTGTGGTACAAAATGACAAATGATTGATATACAGAAAAAATAGATTAAAAAAGAAGAAAACACTTTTTGTTCCATTCTCCTGAGGTTCTTGAATTTTTTTTATTAGTTTTTTTTTCAATTAAGTGCAAAAAAATCTGCAGTATATTTTGTTAGCGGCTCTTTTTAGTTTCTAGTATTTTCCAGGAGTGGTAAGACTGATCAACAGCTGATGTAAAATGCTTCAGTGTTGAGCCTTGATTGATGTCACAGACAAACTAACACTGATGACTCATTGCCTTTGTGTGACGTCTCCTGTCACTGTTCATTCACTCTGCAATCTTCACTAACACAGAAAAAAGTACAAAAAAACAAACATTCATATTTTTATTTGGCATGAGAACTTGTAAAAAAAAAATACTGGTTGTTAGATCATATTTAAGGCACAACTCCTTAGTTCGATCAAATAAACAACAATAGATCTACCATTCACATAACCTTAGATACTTCCCTCTAGGCATGGGGAGGTATGAAATTATGCCGATATGATACGTTCTATAAAAATATCACCGTGTGGTGGTATCACATAGAGGTTGAACGTCAGCCCCTTGTTCTACTCTTAGCTTGGTACAGAGGGTCTGAACGCTCGGCTATTGAGAAATGATTGCTTCCTAGAGGAGTGGACTCTGTTGAGGTTTAACATTTTCCTAAAGTCTTTAATGTTTGGCCTTGACGTAACAATGATGTAATGCACCAGTTTGATGCTACAAAGTTTCCGGAAATTACGAGGCGGCTGTTAAAGTCAATTCATTATCTGATAGTGTGGCCAACATGGACTTCCTTCACTTCCTCTGCTGCCATTGTTAAAACTACAGTGAGAGTACAATTCTAAAACAGCACAGAAAATCAACTTCTGTACGATGATTGGCCCAGTAGAAAATCTACCAGCAGACTCCAAGTCAATGGGCAGGAGCCTGGACCGAATCAGAGATTTGAATTGAGCAGAGTGGCAGAGGAAGACTAGGCTACAGTATGGTGAGCATGTTTTGCACATAGAGCAACCTTCTTCCTCCAAGTTGCCATCTGTCTTCCTGTGATAGCTGACGTACTCCCATAAAGTGGACTTTATTCTTTTAGACAAAGTGGACGGGTTGTGATAGTGCAGCTACGCATGACTGGCTTGATTTGACCTCCACTCTATCTGACCAGACAAAAAAACCCAAAACGCTTGTACAACCAGAATGCTATAACAGAAAGCTTTTGTGGTTTTGAAACCGTAACGTTTTTTATATTGCAGTATACCTTAAAAGCAGTAACCAGCCCAACCTGGTAACCCAGTAGCCTTCTCTTTACTGAACCTTATACCCTTATATTCATTTGATTTGTTCTTTGACTTGTGCGTTTTTCCAGCTCAGTATTGAGTTTTGACCTCCTGGACTCCTTCCTCACTGACGTCCCCTTTGTCTTCTGTCTCAGAGCAGTCGTGTCCAATGTGAGTTTGGTCCGGTTTCTCCTCTCCACTCACCTCTTTGTAGCCAGGGTTTCTTTCATGTTCAACTGCAGAGCATTTTGGGCTTCTCCTCCTGCAGGGCAGCCCTTTTTTAGCAGGTCTAACAAGTCCCAGGAACACAGCACTCAGTCCCATTCCCACCGCGCAGGAGCAGAACGCTGCTCCATAGTTCTCAGTTACATCCACTAGCACACCTGCAGGTACGGAGTGGACACCGAGAAACAAGCTCAGTAAACTATAAATCTAAAACCATGGCATCATATTATTTGGTCCTCCACAGATCGTTTTGGGGTTGAGAAACTGATCTCACTGTCCACAGCAACATATTTGTTTTTATACTAAGAGAAAATGGAATAAGAAGAGATCCATGTGTCTGAACAAATTTCAAACGATTGGAAGTCTAAGCATCACAGACGTGTTCAGGCTGCGCAAATGGAATATATGAACCTCAGATACTGTTCAATGTTTTTGAGTCATTTGTTAATCCAGTTCTCTCATGCATATCTATGCTTCCTCTGACTTTTTCACCAAATAACAGCATCCATGTCCAGAGTGTTGTTGAGGATTCTGGTAGTGTTTACTTGAGGTTTGTTTTCTAAATGAGTTTCCAAACAGTGAGTTGCTGATCAGAACCAGTCAAGCTGCAAATTGTCAATTTTGTGTCGCAAGCAATTTTCTCGGTGCATCTCTGCTTTTAAGGGCCTATACATTTGCTTAGACATCAGAATATTATAGTACCAAAAAATGTTTACCCATAAAAAGATCTTTCTTACCTCCAAGTGGCGGCCCACCCAGTCCAGCAAAGCTCTGGATGAACACATAGACACCAGCAGCTGATGACATCCTCTCCACGCCCACCACCTCATCCTCTGCCAGCATGGGGATGTGAGTGCATGCCAGGGTTCCCATGAAGAACCCGTACACAGCACAGCACAAAGCCAGAGTGTAAAAATTTGTCACCAGCGTAAATCCCACTAAATCCACTGTCATCATGATCACACACACCAAGAGTACCAGGAGCTTCCTAGTCTTGAACACATCCTGGGACAGGACCCACCCAATGACGAATCGTCCAAAGATTTCAGCCACGGCCATGATGGAGAGCATGTAGGTGGCTTGCTCTCGCTCCACGCCACGGCTCACGCTCAGCTCGATGATGTAGAGCGGAGGGGCGAAGAAACCCATAGTGGCAAACAGTCCAAACAGAGAGTAGAGGATAAAACTGGTCTCTTTGAGGATGGAGAAGTCTAGGAGTCTAAAATTTGCAGCAGATTGCTTTGTGTAGCCTGAGTTGCATCCTTCTTCTTGATCTATCGTTTTTTCGTCATCTTTGTTGTGTTTTTCTGTTTCCGGTTCTTTACATTTTTCCCCAGCGTTTAGAGCCGTCTCTGGCCTGGGCTCTTTGTCCAGTGAAGTATTCTCCTCTGGTGTACAGGTGTCTTTAAGTGACAGAACTCCATTAGTCATCTCAAAGTTCTCAAGAACCAAACTGTCTACATTCTCTTGTTTCTTGAGTGCTTCCAGGTCCTTTGGGGAAAACGTGTCAATGTTTGGGCTTTGGGACGTTGGGGGTTTAATAATGATTGGCCGGAGCAATGCACCACAGACAATGATGACGCTTTGCAGAGCTCCGATCATTGCTATGCTGTGTCTCCAGCCAAGTTTGTCTCTTAACACAGAAAAGCCTAAAAGGGAAAGGAAATGCAGTAATGAAATTAAATGTGTGATTGCTCAGCTTATTTAAAAATGAACACATTTTGTCTTATGTTGTTTCATGTATCAACCAATCACAACCCCTACAAGGCATGGTCACACCGAGCGATGAGGTCAACCACTCTTCCTCTCTGAGGGAATTTCTGTCAGCTCCTCGCTCTTAGTCGCTCTCAGCAGCTGATTGAATTTGTGTTTTTGCATCCAAATTGAAAGTCCGATCCAATGACAAGTACCTCTTGTTTATGTCTTCTCATCTCTTTTTATCTGGGTACATTTTTGTGTTATTTGTTGCTGCCTCTTGGCCAGGAGGTGGAGGACATGATACATATTATACTGTCACAATATGATGACAGAACAAATATATGTACAAAACCATGTTGTTATTATATATATATATATATATATATATATATATATATATATATATATATATATATATATATATATATATATATATATATATATATATATATATACATACAAGACCCAAGGTGTAGGTTGTGCAAGGAGGCCCCTGAGACAGTCCAGCACATCACAGCAGGGTGCAAGATACTGGCAGGGAAAGCGTACATGGAGCAACATAACCAAGTGGCAGGCATAGTGTACAGAAACATCTGTGCAGAATATGGACTGGAAACCCCGAGATCAAGTGGGAAACATCCCCAAAGGTGGTGGAGAACGCCAGAGCTAAGATCCTGTGGGACTTCCAGATCCAGACAGACAGAATGGTAATGGCGAACCAACCAGACATTGTCGTAGTGGATAAACATCAGAGGAAAGGCGTTGTGGTAGATGTAGCAATACCAAGTGATTGCAACATCAGGAAAAAGGAGCACGAGAAACTGGAGAAATACCAGGGCCTCAGGGAAGAACTGGAGAGGGCCTGGAAGGTGAAGACCACAGTGGTGCCTGTGGTCATCGGGCCCTCGGGGCAGTAACCCCCAAACTGGAGCAGTGGCTACAACAGATCCCAGGAACAACATCAGACATCTCAGTCCAGAAATGTGCAGTCCTTGGCACAGCCAAGATACTGCGCAGAACCCTCAAGCTCCCAGGCCTCTGGTAGAGGACCCGAGCTCAGAGGATAAGAACCACCCGTGGTGGGTGAGAAGGGAATTTTTATATATATATATATATATATATATATATATATATATATATATATATATATATATATATATATATATATATATATATATATATATATATATATATATATATATATATATATATAAAAGCCACAGCTGCAGCTTAACCATCCAGCCAGAGCTACCATGTTCATAGTTTGTGATCAAAGCATATATGTGTTTCAGGCTGGGTCAGTTTAAGTCCAGACTTAAATCCAATTGATGATCTGAATCTGGAACAACAATGTGGCTGAGCTTGTTGATGAAGTTTAGAAAAAAATGTAGGCCTCAAGATGAGTAGATCTGGTAGACATTTCCCAGAAATATTGCAGCAAAAGGTGGGTCTAAAACATAAAGACTGAGTGGGGAGAACTCAAATGCATTTGTTTGTTTTTTTGGCGTTTTTTTAAAAAAAAGAAAATCATGTTATCCATTTTTAAATTAATCTCTGGTCTCTGTACAGAATAAGTTCCAACAAAATACATAGAAAGCATGAATACTTCAACAACGCACTCTTGGTGTGTGTGCATAAAAGTCATCGGATCCAGATGAGGCTTCGCTCTCACCTGGAGCGAGGACAGACATGGTAAGGGACTCCCCAGTAGAAGCCAGAGCAGTGACCAGAGACCGCCGACGGCTGAAGTACTTTGACAGGATGGTCACAGTGGGCAGGAAAGTCAGACAGTAGCCCAGACCTGCACAGTTCAACACGCTTCTGTTTAATTCACCAAGACACATCGCTGTAGGACAGCTTCAGAGAATTCATTATAGATGTAGATGAAGTCAAATGGATACCTGTCACTAATCCATAGGTAATGTATATCTGATTGAGTGAAGTGGTAAAGCTCGTTGCAATGGTGCCAGTGGATATAAGTAATCCTCCAATCATAACAACAAACTGGAAGCCAAAGCGGTTCATCATCACTGAGGAGAGCGGACCTGCAGATTGCAAGCAAATTGTGATTTAATATCATTGCCCCTCATGGGCTGGATTTGGTTTCTTCAGAGCTGCATCCAGTCTGTCGCGGCAGATGAACCGGCCACCTACTATTGAAGGCCATGATGAACACACAGATGGAAATGATCCATGAGACCCGACTGTTGGTCTCACCAAACTCCTCCATCATGTCCTGGAGGAAGATCCCAAAGCTCTTAATGATGCCATATGTGAACATCTCCACCAGGAAGAAGGCAACAGCCACCACCCACCCCCATCCTCCGTCAGGGGCCTGAGAGTACTCTTTGGCCCCAAGGAGCTGGGTTACTTTAGCTCTGCACAGTCCCATGCTCTGCAAAAGAGGAAAAAGCTTTAGTAATCGCAAGGGGTATACCAATAAATTGGCCTCAATTGCCTTCATTTGGGAGATAATTTTTTTGTTCAATACTGAAACCGATCACATCTACCGGTCTTGCTAAAAATCAACCACTGTCCTCTATCGCTCTGCTGTGAGGGAGGTTTGACTGACAGACCGTCCCACCAAGTCGTGTACATGTTTGCAGTTAACAATAGTCACCAACTCAATGACTTTCTTGCCATATTTTAGCAATATTTCACACACAAAACAAACACAGTATCAGCCAAATTTGGAATTGGCAGGTCAGGCTTTTTAAAGATTGTTAATCACTAACTGGCCAGAAAACTGCAACCGGTGAATACTGTCACAAATGAAGCATGACTGACTTTCAATCAACATTATGTGAGATTACCAAATGAGATTTCCCATGAGCTCCTGGTTTGATGTGAACCATAACCATTGGCATTGACAGAAATAAATACTTGTAATATATTACTTTGCGAATGAGATTCACTCTTTCAGAGGTATTGCTGAAATACTTCTAGTTATACATGCTAATGTCTTGTGATGCACCAGTAAGCAAGAGGTGCATAAAATTATTTTCACAAGAATTATTTCTTTGAAGAGATACACTGTTGTTTAAAGAAGGCCTGCTTCTGAATAAACAACAAGCTGCCCAAGTGAGTTATTATCTTTTGGGATAACTCACTTGGACAGAAAAATGGACAGTTATTAATTTTAAAACAGAAAATGTGATATTGAAAAATAAGCCACTTTGTACATTTTGTACTAATACTCTGAAAACCCTCCACATCCCAAAACCGCGATCATGTGACATGATCCTGATATTGTAAAACAATATGTTTTTTACATATATACTCCTTCCAAGCTTATAGAAAATTGAGACGTGTTTATTTTTAGGGTAAAAAACACGTTATACATTTGAGGTGAGCAGAAGGAAATAGCGCCTCCTGTAGGCACAGTAGAGATTGGTCGCAAAATTAGGAATTTTAAAAAAGTGGGGTCATTCTCAGTCAGTTTGAGGGACTTTTATTATCACAAAAAAAGTATATATTTTAAAACAAAAACTAAAAAAAAAAAAAATTTTATTTGTATGTTTTGGCACAGTTAGAAAATGACCAAAACACGCACAGACCTTTGAACCGCGATCAGTCCGCGATGTGGAGCCGAACCTCAGGCACCTGCCGGATGCAATGAGCCCGCAGTGAGAGAGTCCCAGTCCCTGCTGGCACTGGCTCAGTCGGACTCTGCAGAACCCGCCTCAGTGGTTCTAGCAGCGAAGAGCTGTCAAAGGACGCCTGATCCTCCCTCTGATCTGCTCCTCTTCTCCTCGCTGACAGGTCAGATCATCTGTTTTAGTTTTGGTTCAACTCCTGCTGCTCCATTTTCATGCTGCGCATCTTCCAGCTATGTTGAATGTACAAACAGTGTCAGTGCGGAGTCCATAGATGTGAGGAGAGAGAAAAAAACAGTTGCTGGAGTTCAGCCTCTTTCTGCAAGGTAGAAACTAATTAATTATTAATACTTGAGGAGGGGGAAAAGGAGAGGGGGGGGTCAAAATTGAGCAAAAAAGTCCAGATGTCGACAGTATTTTGTTCCTCATTTGTAAACGTGGTGCATTTATTGACACTTCAATCTCTGTTACTTAAGAATAAAATATGAATTACCATAGGAAAATATAACAGTTCCTCAGCCCTCCAATGAATTTATTAAAGACTTAATGAAATTTGTTTTCATTTTTAAAAATTGCAAAAAGGGAACTGCAGTCGACTCTGTAATCCTCTTACAATAAGGCATGGGATGAATCCTGATGCAAACAATTACAGCTGTACATCTTTTTATTAACAGTCTGCAGCTTCTGTATTATTCCTCTAACTGACCCTCTGAAGGGCAGCATTTGAAAATTTACCTTCACTATATGAAACTCATGCAATTTCCACTCATGGCTTTGTTCAGTTTCACAACAAGAAAAGATTTCATAACCGCCGCTGGTACGTTAAGCGTGCAGTGGAGTAAATCCATGTTCATTTCGAGCTGCTGGAAACCTTTAATGAAAGACTTATTGTGCACAGTATGCTGTAGTTGCATAACACTTTATTTACAAAGCAAATAAACATAAAGGGTAAGTAGCCATTGTCCCATGTTATTACACATACAGAGATGTGAAATGTGAAAGAAAAGACAAAAAACTCCTGTTAGAAAACACCAAGAAAACCGGATTTAAATGTGTTAATATGTTAATACACCTGCAGGTGTGTATGAATGAAAATGGGCATTTATTACCAACCCGAAACAAAAGCTGGCCTATGGAGAATAGAAAAGACTGAGATGTGTTCTATGTCTTATGTGATCTTCATAGTTACTAAAACATACATATAAATATTTGTATCGATTGATTTGGAAATGATCAAGTTAAAACTTAAGTGAGGAAAGGTGTGCTTTGAAGTTTTCCATATTTAGTCACATGACATTATAAACGTTAAGGTTTTATATTGGTTACCTACACAAAAAGAGGAAAATGATTTTTTACCTTTTGGAAAATAAAAAAACTGAAAACAATAATTTAACTGGTAACTGGAGACTGAGCAGAGGTTAACCTTCCACCAGGACAACAACCTGAAACATAAAGCCAGAACGACAATGGAACAGTTTAAATGGCCCAGTCAAAGTCCAGACCAAAATATATATATTATTTCTCTACACCTTTATAACAGCAGCAAGATTTAACGGGGGAGGAGTTGTGAATGTAAATAAAATCACATTCACAACACACTTTTCAGATTTTCATTTGGTTTAACAAAATATATGAAATCAGACCATCACCAAGAAAAATGAGGTTTTCCTTTCACTTCACATTAATACACTTCTACTTTACCAACGGAAAATACAGTTATGTGACAAAACCGAACAAAGTCTTGAATAACATGAATAACTTGCTATTTATAAAATAAAGGAACATGCATAACATGACAATAACAGACTAAAACATTTTAAAGGATGGAGAAATACAGGACTTGGAGATTTGTTACGTACAAGCATCCTCCCTGTCCTTCCACTACTTTTTTCTTTCATTTTTTTTTTTTTTTTTGCCTTCTTTGGAAACTTTTTTTACGACCTTGTATTTTCTTAGGTCGGTTGTCAACCAGCACACAAATGCCTCTCCGCTTTCTTCATTTGTGATTATTATTTACATGTGCTCGTACAGTCTCTCGTGCTTTACATCCTGTTGGTTTGAACCAATTAAACGCCTGATTTTCAGTGCGCGTGGAGATGTTGACTTGGGCTCGTATCCTCGCGCGCGCTGCTCTTGACTCAGCGTCCTCGTTCAGGTCAGCCAACCTGCCACCTGGCTGCTTGTTGTCGCGTGCGCGTCGATAAATGACAACTCGCTCACACTGTAAGTATCTGTACGCCGCCTTTTAAAGACGTTCACAGCTCAGTTAGCCAAGGTAGTGATAAGTGACGGCCGGCCGTAGAGGACATGTCGGGTTGTGAGATGTTCGGTTCGGAAGTGTTTCTGTCTGACCTGAGAGTTGCTCCTTTCAGCTGAAATGAATCCGTTCTCCGTCGGGACAGCTGCGACTGTTCTCAGCGTCTCCCACGTGCCGCGGGGCAGCCGGTGTGTGAGCCACATGTTCTCTCAGGCATGTGTCCACAGACACGCGTGAACCCCGGAAACAGGCGTGCCGCGTGCGTCACAGAGGCGCGTTCATACTGAGGAGGGAGACAGGTCGGGTCGGGTCGGAGGGATCTGGTTGCAACCAGTTCTAAGTCTGTACCAAGTCTGTTCCAACCGTCCGCAGAAGCGCGCACGCCTTTTTTAAAACCTGGTCTGCTCTGATTGGTGGCTGCAGGTTCTCAGGTTGAAATTTGTGGAAAGTCCTTCTGAAATCCGCATTTTTTCCAGGTTTATCCCACATTTTTGAACATTTGGAATGTCTGCCCTCTGTCTGCACAACATGTCCTTTCAGGTTAATAACCTGGGTGGAGATTTACCTACTTTTCCAAATTTCCACTATGATGAGCGAGATTTCCCCTTCTGCCTTGTCCTTAAGGCAAAAATGCTTCAACTCCACTCAACAATCTTTAACACGGAACAGCTTGAGTAAATACAAAATGCAAATTGAAATTAAATGTGTGAGAAAAAAAAATCACCCCTAAATCTACCAAACCCCTGGAGGCGACAGACAGCTGTCCAGGGTTTTTCATGTCTTTGGAGAAACAATGGCCCACGATTTGCAGAATTCTTACAATTAAGCCACATCCAGTGCTTTAGAGTGTAATTGACCTGTCTAAAGTCCTACCACAGGATGTTAGTTAAATTTAAGTCCAGACTTCAAATAGGCCATTCTGAAATGTTCATTTTAATTTCTTTTTGCCAATTGAATGGAGTTGATCAAGCTTAATTTTATTTACATTTGCTTACGTTGACAATTTAATAAACTTAATAAATGAACTTGGATCAACTCAATTTGATGACCAATTATCAGAATTTTTTTAAAGGTTGGAACGTATTCTCTTTTTTCAGTGTGACTTATTATTCTTTCATACCATATGAAGACCGTAAGGGTGTTTAAATCAAGCAAACCTGAGTTTAAAGAAGGCTTTCTATGCACCGATTGGACATTTTCTAGAGACACAGAGATCTGCATTGTCACAGAGTCAATAGCTGCCTACATCTCGTTATCTCAGTAATAACCAAGAAAATTCTTATCAAGAAGAGTCCAAATAAGCCCTATGGATGTCACAAAAGGTCGGCATTCACAAGGAAAAAAGCAGCTTCAAGATCTGGAGTCAGAGCTGCTCAACAAAACCTTAATTGGCTGGTGGGAATAGGCTGGTTACAGCGAGTGGGAAAAGAACACACACTGTCCTCGACCTGTCACGAAAACCTTGTAGGGCTACATACAGGGTCTGACTAACACAAGTACGAAAAGAAGTTTGCTGTTAAGTCGATAAAGCAAATGAACTAAACAAATTTCTATTTGTTTGAAAGTCCAGCACAGATGCTGGGATTTATACGGGAGGTTGCATATAAATGATTAACAAGGTTTGAATTTTAATCAAACTTGATTCTGTAGCAAGGCGTCTGTCTCTCTTTTTGTCATAAACATCTGCAGATCAGCTCATGCTTGCACGACATCAACATTTTCAGCTTTCACTTGACACACACTCAGAGCCTGAGCTCTGGGAAAAAAATAAAACCTGTGATAGTTCCGATTCCTAAAACGTTGAGCCCTCATGAGAACAATGATAATGAAATTGTTGGAGAAACTACTATTATTATTTGAGAGAGGTTGAACCATCCCTCCATCAATATCAGTCTGCCTACATGAGAACGCAGCACAAATGATGCTATTTTAACAATAATGCATTTGGTTTTATTACACATTGAAAGCTCCTCGGCGTATACCAGACTGCTTTATTAATTGTAACTCGGCTAATTAATTCAATTCAACATCACAGTCATCTGAAAAAACTGCTCCACTTGAATGTAAATCCCTTTCTGATTAAATGGTACAATTTTTTCAAATAGGCCACAGTAGGTTTTTTGTTGTTCCATAGTCTAGTTTTAAAGACTTGTACAGAGCAGTGACATGTTCAAAATTGGAATATTGTATTATAACCTAACCCTGCTTAACAGGGGAAGTACTATGTCTTTTTCAGGCACTTAATACCATTTTATAGCACAGTCAAGTAACTATGTTTACTTTGTTATTGAATGCCTTGAAATTGGGCCTCTGTCTCTTTAAAAACTCCTGCTCTTTCTGAAATGATGCCTTCAGAAAGAGCAGGAAGTCATCACAACATGGCTTCTCTATTAACCATTTAACAACGTTGTTGCAAGTGTTTCACTGAGAACTAGCTTCTATAATGAGCTCAGCTGGTGCCCAGTTCCACCAGGCTTTTGCTAATTGCTGCTGGCTAGTCTGAAGGAGCTGAGTGGGGGAGTCACAGCGGAGAGCTGCTCTGTGCGGCAGAAGCTTGAAAGTTTTGATGCTGCAGTTCTGTGGCGGTGCTAGGTCCATCTAGGCATTTTACACAGCTGAATGTGTAAAATGCTTTATTCTCATGGAGAATAAAGGATTTCTCAAACATGCATGAAAGAATCAAAGCAACACTCTAACTATGTTTTTGATGAGCGAACAACATTATAACATAATGTGAAGCTCGAATATGTCTATTTTACATAATGCCGGCCCTTTAAATTTCTCTACATCTTGGTTTTCATGATAATGTTTGTTCTCTAACTACTTGAATATTATTATATATTAGCCAAGTTCAAAGTGAAACATGTGTTCCTTTTCACAGTTTTTATTCCAAGATGGTCAGGCCTGTATCTCAGCTGCTCCTGACTGTGACATTGCTGTCTGGGCTGGTGATCTACACAGTTTCACAAAGAGGAGCAGAAAAGAAGCCAAACTTTATCATCATACTGGCAGATGACATAGGCTGGGGAGATCTGGATGTTAACCAACCAGAGAAACACACAAATAATACACCAAACCTCAACCAAATGGCCCGGCAAGGGCTCAGGTAAAACCTTTATTTGTGATATATGAGATATGAGCCTCTGATTTCCATGACAAGTTAACAAAGTAATTAAAGTGTAATCTTAGAAGAGGACCTCAGATGTCATAAACCGTATGTGTATGAAAAAACTTTCTCCAGATTAACAGACTACCACTCCCCTGCTTCCACCTGCTCTCCATCGCGTGCTGCTATCCTGACCGGCCGCTATGGCCTCAGAAATGGAGTGACTCATAACTTTGCTGTGAACTCTGTGGCTGGCCTGCCTCTGTCCGAAGTCACTTTGGCCCAGTTGCTGCAGCAGGCCGGTTACTACACCGCTGTTATTGGGAAATGGCACCTCGGACACAACGGACCTTACAGTCCAATCAACAGAGGTGAGTCCAGGCTGCAGGCTGCTGCTGAGTTCACTCTGTCCTCTGCCTGACTTCCATTCTAGTCATGTCTTTGTTAATTGGAGCAGTTCCACCTATACTCAGCATTGTCTCTGCTTATCTGCTGAGGGTAATGATAGGAGTTAAGAGGGTCATTGGAGAATTGGAGTGACTGTAAGATCAGGGCACAGAACAACGGCCAGAACGCTCGTGCCGATGTTCTTTTTCATACACTATCTTGAAGGTCCACAAGAGACACTGAGCCATAAAACCCCTCCCATAGCCAGGATATTTTGGCATATCATTGTGGTTTATACCAGTGTAGTAAACACTTATGTTCACACATTTGTCAGAGAAGGAAGTAAAGATTGACAAGCTGGAATATCTTATTTTTTTTTCCATGTCGACAGAAGTCAAAAGAAAAAAGAGCATAAAGCTTCTTTTGGACATTCACCCGCTGAACTGGACCAGAACTGAACAAAGAGAGTTCAGTTGTTGGTGTACCCTCAGCAGATAAGCAGAGACCTTCCCCCTGGCTGTGGGGGAAGGTCTGGTCTGAGGCTGAAAAATCGACTTCTGGAGGTTAATTTTTTAGGGCTGTTTTTTCTGCATAAACAAACACAGCCATAAAATTCCGAGACAAAATGACGTAGTTTTTGTCAACCAATTTCGAAAACGATGAGAACCGATTTTAACATGACGCCCGATTTTAACATGATTTAACACCTGACGCTCTTTTCATGAACTGTCTGAAATGCTGCCATCAGGCGGAGAATACCCCAACATCCATTGCAAAAGTAATGTGATAAAATGAGAAAAGACTAATTTATTTTAACCATGACTAGTATGTTATATTGCTGACAAAGTACATCTGTCCATGTGCCGATCCTTTTGGGGTAATTTCTGTTTAGAGAATCAAAAGGGTGTGAAGCAGGGAACACTCTGGATAGATCCTTTCACTCTTGATAAAAATGACAACCTGTATGACAATGGCCTATTTCAGCTGGATAGTTGTTTTAGCCATTCTCCAAAAATGCCTTAGGAAGGAGAGTTCAGTTGTTGACTTTCAAGCTTCTGGGAAGTTTGCTGAACACACAGTCCTCAAAGGCACTAGCTGGCAACTTGAACCCTAAAGGTCTGCCACTGGTAACTCAGGGGATCTTCAGAGGCTGATTGGAATTTTAGTACCAAAAATTTGATTTACTCAGAAAAAGGCCTCTATTATAGCATTGTGATAAGCTTATACAGAAACTGCATATGCCTGACATCAATTGAAACAGTCAATGGTAGAAATCATTCTACAGTCTTTACATATCACTTAAATTGAAACATGAGTACATTTCCACCTCTTGCACAATTGTGTATCCTTCCATTTGCCTGACATTCTGAGCACCTCCAGCCTCACAGTTCTACATCTTCACTGCAGGAAATGTACGAAACAAGGTCACCAGCCATCTTCCAGCTGCGCCTTGTGACAAAAAACACATCATTGCTGATTCTTCTTCACCAGCTGAGTTACAGCCCTCTCTCTTCTAGCATTTCAGTTCATACTAACAAATTCAAAGTCCATTATTACTCCTAGTTATCAAACAATAAAGGAGTTAAAAAGTTTTTTCTACCTAAGGAAACACAGCAGATTGTATCAAGTCATTGGCTTACATCATTCACTCCTCCTGGACCAGCATGTGTTGTTGACTTTACAACAATCCTTAATACTGAGCCTGCATGTAGCGACAGTGGAGAAAAAAAAACTCCAACTTGACAGGAAGAAATCTCCAACAGAACCAGCTTATGACCATTTGTGGCAGATTGTTTTAACAATGGTGAACCACAACTGACTGGTTGTTCTTGTTTTGTAAACAGGATTCGATTATTACTTCGGCATTCCCTACAGTAATGACATGGGCTGTACTGACACACCAGGATATGATCTGCCCCCGTGTCTCCCTTGTGTTTCATCAGAACCTCAAGTGATCAGGTGTGGCTGTTTTTAGTTAGTTTGTTTGTTTTATGTTTTACTTTCACATATTTTTCTTGCAGTCACAATATTGGACATTTTGAAGAATAACAGTTTATACTTCATACAAATTTGGTGTGTAAAGCTTTTGGTGAAAATGCATGCAAAGGAGAATATTAAAGGGACATTATTATTCAAAATGTAATTTTTTTTATGTTTACATCATGTTACTATGTGATTTACTCATCAAAAACATACCTTGGTGTATGTATCAAGTGTTGCATGGTTGAGAAATGCTTTAATCTCCATGGCAACTATTCAGCTGTGTAAGATGTCTGGGTGGACCTTGCCCGGTCTTTGAGGACAAAAGTTCTCATCTGAGCTGCAATTTCCAAGCTTCCATTTCACAGAGCAGTCCTCCCCAGAACTCTCCTACTCAGCTCCTTCAGACTAGCTAACAGCAATTAGCAAACACCTGGTGAAACTGGTCTTCTGCTACTTCTCAGTACAGCCCTGCTAAAAACATTGTTAAAGTGTTAATAGAGTAGCACTTTTGTGATCACAGGAGTTTTTAAAGTGACAGACGCCCAATTTCAATTATTTGTGTAAAAAAATCAAGAAACTTTTTATTTAAAACTAATTTCCGATCATGCCACAACTCTACGTCTGCAGGCCTTCATACGTTACTGTGTCTTCCTGTTGTAGACAGAGGAGGAGTGTTCACAGTGGCTGTTATTCCAAGGTGGGACTTCCTCTGGTTGAAAACAGCTCCATTGTGGAGCAGCCGCTGAACCTCTGGGCGCTAACAGAGAAGTACAGATCTGCTGCTCTCAGGATTATACAAAGTGCAAGGTACAACACAGTGAACACAGAGTAGATCAATCTGTTGATCTCTGCCAGACAAAACATTTGGATAACTCATAACATCCGTTTGTCCAAAGGACATTCTAATTGATTTTCACAAGTTGTGAATACAATACAGACCAGTACGCAATTTACAGCTAACGGAAAAGTGGGAGGCACACAAAGCTGTGAAATTTACTGAAAATTTGTTCACAAAAGAAATGATTCATTTAAACTATATCTGTTTACAGCAGAGCATTACGGTCAGGTTAAGAATAAAATGCTTTTTGTTTTATTTCCAAAATTAAGTCAAATTAAAGTATCAGAGAAAATGTATGTTAATACTAACAAAAATTGTAATAATACCAGAATAAAGTTTATCAGTTTTGCTCCCAACTTTTTCAAATCAACATTCACCAAACACATCAGACCATCATTTTTACCCAGAAGTTAATGAACTGCTTTTGACTTTTTGATTTAATGTTTATCTTGTGACAGTCATAGTAACACAGTAATAAATCAAAGACCCATCCAGCAGCATTAGTTGTTAGCCATTTGCTATTGTCTCGAGTGTTTTTATTAGAGCATATTTACACAGTAGTTGTACCAATAACACACTCCTGGTGTGTGTGCACGCTTGAAGCATATGAGGAGGAGGGCGGTGAACCCTGCTGCTTTCAGCTGTGGGTTAAAAGGCAGAATGACCCCAGGCTGCACCAGGGGTCATGTGAACGAGTTCTGCACTTTTCAGTCAATGCTGCAGCTTTGAGTGTCTGGAAAGCAAAAAGCTACACATTAAGCTACATGTTATTCATTCTAATCTTAACTATATTTGTTTCCATCATTGACAGACACACAATGCCTCAGAAAAAGTATTCAGACCCTTGTACTACTGTTGTTTATTTATTTCACACCGAAATGATGTACAACATTTTATTAACCTTTTAAAAGGAGAGATGCCTGGTACCGACTGGAACCCAGCTTTGCTGTAACAAAGCCGGGTTACAGCAAAAAATGCTTCCACCTGTAGTCAACGGACAGTTTGGTGCTAGTTAAATTCTACAATTTAACAAATCATAAATAGGTGAAAGGTCATTATAATAATTAATTACATACATATCTAATAATTCATTATTTCACTAAAATCAAGTAAACCAAACTACAATCCTTCCAAACAGTCCATAAGGCCATTTTGTGCCAAATATGTAAACATATTTTGTTTAATGTAAACATATTTGGCACAAAATATGTTTACATATTTTGTGCCAAATAAAAATGCTCTAATTAGAGCGTTATTGTTTGATAATGCTCTAATTAGAGCATTTTATAATTTCACCAAACTGACCCTGAATGCTATTGCATCATGTAGCTGAAAGTAAATCAATAAGCAGCCTGTTAGGTCATGTCACTTTATCGTGACTCTTCCTCGTGAGGAAATTATGGTTGTTTTTTTTAAACGTTTTTCAAAAATTTTTACCCATCACATGTTTTGTGAAACCAAATTGTCCTGCGGTTCCAGGGCCCGAGCACAGCCGTATCTCCTCCTGGTGGCATCAGCTCACATGCACGTCCCGCTCGCCCCCGCGGTGGCGGAGCCTTCAGGTGACGTGGTGTACGCCGCCAGCCTGCGCGAACTGGACGGTCTGGTTGGGGCGATAAAGGCTGCCGCCGATGAGACAGATAGAGGAAATACTCTAATCTGGTTTACTGGTAGGACTGTTTTATAATTTCCCTCATGTGACAAATCAGAACATCATGTGATGGAGTCAGCAAAGTGTCTGTATGCTTTAGGCGACAACGGCCCGTGGGAAGAAAAGTGTCAGTTTGCAGGGAGCGTTGGGCCTTTCACCGGAAAATGGCAGACCAGCAAAGGTGTAACAAACTGAAGTTGAGATCGGCTCACTGAAATTCCTCAGAAGGCTTCACAGTCAACTCTTGACTTCTTATAAGGTGAACTTTTGTTTCTGCATGCTAGGCGGCGGATCAGCTAAGCGGACTACATGGGAGGGCGGTCACAGGGTGCCAACTGTGGTGTACTGGCCAGGCAGGATCCCTGCAAACACCACCAGCTCAGCCCTGCTCAGGCAAGCACTGTTTCATTGTTTCCATCCACCAAGTTAAACACCTGCTGCACCAGAATGTTAGGGAGACGAAGATGATCCAGGTATGAACATTGAAGGGAGTAGTTACATTACAAGTTTGGCCAGATGAAAAATCGTCCCAGAACTTATTGTGATAAATAATAATATTATTGTTTTGAGACCATTTTCAAGTAATATAATGATGATAGCCTATTTATGCAAGAACACATTCTCAAAGATAAATAAACTTTCAATTCTAATGAACATTTAACACTGAAACTGGAAGACATTTTAAGGATCCAAACAGAAACAGCAACAAATAAAATGAAGTATGAAGACTCTGTAAACAGAATGAATAGTCCTTTCATCAAAAAAGAGTTAGTTGAAACCCAAGTACCAGACTGAAGACTTTCATCATCCAGTTTTTGGCAGATAGAGACTGAATTTAATTCATCATGTGATTAAAATATTTGATAGTGCGACAGGGCTACATATATTGTCTTGACTTGTTATGAAGGATATATTTAAGTCTACTTTGGTAAGTTTTACAAGCTGATTATTTATGGAGCGTTACTTGTCAACTCATAACCTGAATTGAAGCCCTAAGGCCATGAAGCTCACTCCACTGGTCTGTAGTGATAAAGTAAGTGTCATCATGAACTGCTGAACCACAGAAGAGCTCAAAAATGATTTCTGTCTAAATATAGAGAAATTATCCATCTGCTTTACTCAAATGTCTGACATCGCTTTATGCTTTTTCAGGAATTCAAATATTTCTGGGTGTGAAGGGCTTTTGTAAGCAATTAACAAAGATCATGCAAGTTTCAGACACAAATACATCAATCAGGCTGACTTGAGGATTTAGTTTCTGACTATTTCTGATTTTCTTTTCAATGACTATAACACATAGAAGAGAAAAACAAAAATAGTTATTTGAGAAAAGCAGCTGCTGTATTTTAGGTCGAAGAGTAAAATAAGTTAGAAGATAATCTATTTATGTAGCAGAAAACACCCTTCATATATATTTAAAAAATAGAATTTGTTTTCCAATGAAGATTGTCAGACTAAAAGTAACTTTCGATTGCACCCTTTAAGCTGGTAATAAACATACTTTTTATTAAGCCCCTAGTTGTGTTTTAAGTTGTTTTTTAGTTGCCTGATGTAATATGCAAAACTTAAGTATTGTGTTTTTTGTGAACTGTAAGCAGAATACTGTTGTAATTAACAGAAATAAAGGTTTGAAAACATCAGTCTGGGTTGAATATATAACATATATAATGAATTCTAGTTAGTGATGGAGGCACTGAAATGAATAAACTTTTCAATAATATTCTAATTTATTGATATGACTATATATCCCTTAAGCTTGTATTTGACTGGATATATTCATTGCCATGATACACTTCTAAATTAGAAACCCAGTTTCTATAGATACGTAAAAATTTGTGAAAGGAAGACTCATTAAGAACTAATGAAATTCATGGTAAAATCATTTAAACAGCACATAATAACCTTAATGTGGCACTTGATGGATTACAACAAACAAACAAAAACACAATTTCAACTTGTAATTTTTAATTGCAAAAACCCCTCTGGCAATGTATGTTTAAGGAAGCAAAAATACATTAACCAACAGGAAGTACTTCATAACTTTAATAGTCAATATTTCTTAGTTTTTATGCATTTAATGAACAGAAAAGAAAAAATATGCTCCAGTGTTTGATCTGTGAATTACTGATTAGAGCCTATCAGGGGATATTGTCTGATTCTGATCTCTGCTCAGTGCATGAAACCTTCACATTTGTACAGTATTAAAATGAATTAATCACAATGTGTAAATTAAATTAAAATGTAAAACTCATTTTCAGATATATTCTAATTTTCCGATATGCACCATGCAATAGATCTGTTCGGAAAGTGTTTGTAAATTGAGAAGTGTTTGTAAAAAGAGATGAACTGTTTTGAATTATTGTTTCATAACTCACATTCTTGCTTCATTTTTCATCATACAGTGGTATGGACATCTTTCCAACAGTTCTGTCTCTGGCAGGCGTAGCGCCCCCTGCAGACAGGCGTTACGATGGAATCGATGCCAGCAGTGTTCTGCTTCGTGGCGAACATTCTGGTCACGAGGTACAAACTGCTACAAACAGGTGGAAGTGTTGTGTTGCGTTGTGTTGCGTTGCGTTGTGTTGCTGCTTTGCGTTGCATCGCTGTCTTGCTTTGTGAAATGGGACTGTCCTGTGTTCTGCTGTTGCAGTTCCTCTTCCACCCCAACAGTGGCGCTGCAGGAAAGTTCGGGGACTTGAAAACAGTTAGAGTCGGAAAACACAAAGCCTTTTACATCACAGGTAGAAATATATCAATAATAAATCAATATCAATTATTTTGACAATTTATTTATTAATCGGATGCAAAACTGGGGACATTGTGCAGATTCTTCAATTTAATGCAATATTAGAAATATATCAATATATGTCAATAAAACAAATACAGTGATGCAAATCCGTTTTTAAATAGGAAAGTAACCTTTCTATTTCTTAAGAAGCAGTAGCAGCATTCCTTTAGAGAACATCTGATCATCTGTAGCAAAAGATGCATCTGCAGCTGAAGAATCCTCCGAACATCAACATGTGAAAAGCTCAGTGCTTTCTGCTGGACTGAACATATTTATGGTGTAAAGACGATCTGGTGATTATTTTATGATTAATGGAATAATCATTTGCAAAGGTGCTCGATAGAATGAATAACTTCATTCAAATTATTTCCAGAATTTGAATGAATAACTTCATTCAAATTATTTCCAGAATTTGAATGAAGTGAAGCTAAATCTGCCACTAGAAGAGTTCTAGCATATTTACAGACAGAAAGTTTTTTTTTTTTTTTTACATGCCAAATGTGTATTTTTGTTACAGTTTTGGTTAAATTACTTCCTTTGATCAACAAACAACATAAGCATTGGGTCCAAAAGCCAGAATTTACTGTGAATTCTCTCTTATTCACCCATGGTTACAGTTCTACATGTGGCTAAGTTTAAGGATCAATAATGAAAGACCCAAACCAGTTGTGGTGTCTAGTGGATTTTGTGCAATGCACTACTTCATAACACCAGCAAATTTAATATGAATTTGCTGCAATGGACCTCATCTCAACCCAGCAAACCAACCTAGTTAAAACACACACACACTTTTGTTTCTCTGTCTTTGCAGGGATTTTCCACTGACTTCTATTGATTTCTATAGACACTAAACCTAGACCTAACAATTATTAGTACATATTTAACCCTAAACCTAACCAAAACCTGACAGTTTCCAAAACATTTGTCTGTCAATTTTGTCTGCCTTATGACGTGAAAGTTACACAACAAAGAAGAGTTTAAAATAGCATAAGATTCATTTGAACGTTTCACTTTTGCAGAGGGATTTAAAACTGAAACAGATTTCATTTTGGCAGGCGGAGCAGCAGCTTGCAACGGCAGCACCGGCCAGGAGCAGCTCCATGATCCACCTCTGATATTTGACTTGGATCGTGAAGAAGCTGAGGAAACACCCCTGCAGTTCGCCACAGCCGAGTACAGGGCGATTGCAGAGAGGGTAGCCCGCAAAAGAGAGGAACTTCTGTGGGACATCGCCACTGATGGATCGGTGTCCACAGCGGATTACAGCCAAGATGAATTAGCAGCGCCGTGCTGCGATCGGACACAGGCCATGTGTCGATGCCGCACCATGTGCTGAAGCCCGGAAGAAACATTAACAACAGGCACAAGGAACGGACCATGAGGTAGGCGAACAAAAGCACAGACACGTGTCTCATTCACAACAGTTAATGTGCAGAAAGAGTTTATTTAAAGGCTCAATGTCCAGATGCAGCAGATGTGCAAACAAGAAATACCAGCAGCTGAAATCTGATTGTTTATCTAAAGGGCTTCTGGTCCAGTTCTATTTTAGATCGATACTTTAAAAAATTCATAATACATCTGGAGCCATCAGACAGTGTGTCATTTAAGTGTCATTTTGTTGATCTGTGAACAAAGTTCCTGTTAATCAGCAGCATGTTTCATCTGTTGAAGTGATTGGTCATCCAGGCTTCGGTTCCAACCCTGAGACCTTTGTTGGATGTTGCTTTCTGAACCTTCAGACTGACCAGTTCAGGGGTCTGCAGCCATGTGACTCTTCTGTCAAAAACACTAAAGATGTAGTGTTTTAAAATGCTAGCTGTTTTCATGCAATACGGCTCTGGAAAAAATGAAGAGACCCCTCCACTGAACCCCATTGAAAACCTCCTGGTTATTACACTATATATTGATTTCTGAATTCTTCCTGAGTTAAAACGTTAGTATTGTTATTTCTAAATGAATATGAACTTGTTTTCTCTGCATTATTTGCCACCTGAAAGCACTGCATCCTTTTAGTTAATGTGATTAGTTCTCAGTTTCTGCAAATTTCTACTAAATATTCCCTTGGAATTTTAGAGACGTGTTGTCAGCAGTTCATAGAATAAAAGAACAATGTTCATTTTACTCAAAACATATCAATATAAAAAGTCAAATCAGACAAACTTATAATTTTAAGTGCTCTCATTTTTTTCCAGAGCTCTATAAACAAAGCATGTTTACAAATAATAACGCTAATAGTCTAATGAATATAATTTTTAATATGTTTTTCCTCTTTTGGTTACAGAGTTTGTAATTTTCTATTAAAGATTTTACATTCCACTGAAAAACTGTACTTTTTTGTGTAAAAAATGTTCAATAACTTGTTATTTAAAACCTAACATCAAACAATCTAAATAAGCTAAGTTAAATAAGCTACATGAAACAAGTAGCTTTTGTAGCCCTAAAAAATACATATTTAGCTGGGCCAAAGGCCAAAAAGGTTTTCCGTGTCATAAAGGTCACTGACTCCTGCACTAGATCCAAAAAATGCCTACCAGGAAGCACAATCCGCTTCTTAGTAAAACACATTTAATGATCACTTGTTACTTTCTACAAGCGTCAGTTGTCAAATACGCAGGACGTAAACAGACACAGGGAGTTTGTGAGTTTGAGTCACTTTGAGCTTTAATGGGTCGCTGGGTAAAATGTCCTGAACTGAACAGCTCAGAGTGTCCTAACAGCGCCATCTTTTGGCAAGTCGTGTTCAATTACCAGGTTACCTAGTACACTTGTACTATATAGAAATTCAATATTTACACATTATACATCCAGTAAAAATCCTTAACATACATTAGGTATGGTAAATCTATGTGCTGATGTGTAATAATGCTTTTGCAAAATAATGTTTAATACATCAATGTAAAAATAACTGAGTTACATCTGAACATCTTATTAAAAAGGTTTGAATGCTATCACTGAAAGTCAAAGACGTGCAGCTTCGCCCCGTTCATCTGGTCACCTGCTCCTCAGAGTTAACTCTAACACATTTACTCTCAGGTCTCTGCTCTCCTCTGTTGCTACCATGATTAGCATCATAGCTGCAAGTAATACATACGGCATTTGTAATGATGGAAATAGTGTATTATTTGCTTTCCTTCTTGAGACCACTACTTCTCTGTTTTGAGGCAACATTTAATAACTTCAATAAACTTAAAGGGTCTAACGCTGACATAAAGAAAAAAAGAAAAAGAGAAGAGACATCAATGTATGGTTGCAGGTTGTAGTACTTCAGATAATTCGTATCAGGAAATACTCTTATTGTCCTGAGCTTTAAAAGAACCGGCCCAGTGTGACGTCACAGATGCCTTCACAGTTCGAATCTTAAACAAAAGTGGTCTGTCACGCTCAGCTGGTTTTAATTACTGCAACACAGTTATGGCGCCTTATAAAACTATTCACACCCCTTGAAATTACATGTTGTCACTTCAGTGTTTTTAATGGAAAAGAGCAGTGGTGGGCGACGCTAGCTAAAACGTTAGCTGAGCTAACCCTAAAGCATTAATCATAAACACTAAGGCTAAATCGCTATACTAACATGCTATTTAGTAGAAGCTAACGCTATAGAGCGAGTTGGCTTCCACCATGTTGATACCCACCATGACGCATGTTACATCATAGTCAATTGCCCTAAACAAGGTCAAAGTTGTTATTGCAGAGGAAGCTAAGTGCGCTAAACACACTCAAAGTCAGCATTCATTCATTGCTAACGCACAGAGTGGACAATTAGCTTAACTATTAGCGCATTAGCGAAAATTTGGCCACCACTGGAATAGAGTGTCTACATGTAGGGGATAGTTGAGAAGAGATGAGGAAACGACTTGTTTTTTTCTAGAGATGAAATCTGACAATAGTATCTGAGATGGGTCAGCAGTAATGTAATTAAACATATTTCAGTTACAACTACAAAGAATAAAAAACAAATAGCTGAAGTCCACCGACAGAATCACACTGTTTACCACAGGCCATGTAGGGGACACGGTTCAGACGTGTGTCAAGCCAACTAGTCTTAAGCATGCCACACACTGTGAAACATGGTGGTGGCAGCATCATCCTGAGAGATTTTCTTTACCAGGGGCAGGATCATTGATTAGGGTTGATGATTAGATAAAAGGAAACCTGCCATCTTGGACACCCCATTGTTTGTATCAAGTTACATCTGTAAAATGACAAAATGTGAAAAAGTTCAAGAGGTGTGAATGAGTGGAACCTGACCTCTGAGCTGAACACTGCCGGAGTCAGGCACCGTAACGTCTGCTCAAAATCTTTTTTTATGTCTTCAGTTTTAAAGTGACATGCAAACAGTCACCACATGATTTTTGTTAGAGTTAAAGCTGCATAAAAGGGCTACGCTTAATACCTAATACAAACTTCCAGCATCCCTCCTGAAGAACACATGAAATGTCGGACTATTTTTCTTAAAGTGTAACCTCTGAGTTAAGAATAAAGTGCAACATTCAGAGAAAAAACATTGAAATTAAAATGGGGGAAAAAATCGTAAAGGTTCTTAATGAGACTGTCTGCATTCTTAAACGGAATTAGCTACAATGATAATGTTACTTCTCTGCCAACGTCTCTTACTGTTCACAAATATCTAACACTGATGGTTATGACATTGTACTGATTGAAAAAACAGAAATCAGGAGGTGTTTTCCTAATGAGAGATGTCCTAGTGCTTCTTTCTTACAGAATGAGATGAACACAGGAACAAGCACAAAGGAATCCTCTGACATAGTATCCAAGGTCATCGGTGGGCTTTGAGGAAGGTCGCAGAGTCTCTTGTCATCAGACCATTCTTTCTGTTTGAACTAGTACTGTAAATATTTTTTTTTTGTGCTGGATCACGGTGGGGATGTTGGAGAAACGGTGGATTAATTACTCTGGTTGCCGACTGGAGGAAACTCGTTCTCGTCATCCAGACAGATTGGGCTCTCTGCAAATTCATGCTCAGGGATGACTTCCCCTCTCTGGGCTCCACCGTCTTCAGAGTAGCCTGGGAGGGAGCGAGAGGAGAGAAAAAGGGTTTTCTGATCAACAATCCAAAGGGAAAAAAAAAACAAAACACTGACATTTTAGGAATGCACCAATTGCAATTTTTTTGGATGATTGCTGATTACCGATCTTTAAAAAGCTTGCCCTGCTGATTTTGGCCGATACCAGTTTTTTGGATGCTGAAATGTTGCTAAAAATATTTAAAAAGCCGCTGAGTTGTTAACAGTGGGGTGACTATTGTTGACTGCAAACATGCAGACATGAGCTGAGGGGGTGCATGTCAGTCAAATCTCTTATAGCAGAGAGAAAGTGGACAGTGACTGATTTTTAGACCTTTGCTGAGGAAGATAAGTCGATAATATGTGCTTTAAGATTTAAGTATCATTCAATCACTGATCTCCCAAAATTAAGGAAATCGGGGGCAATTTATAAATTTGGCTCTTTTATTTTGCCCGTCTGCACATCTAGTAATTTTCCCAGTGGTTTTATTTTCACTTTAAATATCTGACATATATAAATAAACGTTTAATAAACCATAAAATTCCACTATGGTCCAGTAAGATTTTGCTATTAGAATTACAGCAACTTGGAAAAGTATTCACACCCCTGGATCTTTTTCACTTTTTTCTCACAACCACAACCTTTGTTCTTTTATTATAGAGCAGCATAAAATATGACAGAGCTCTGAAGTGGAATCAGTCTTCTGTTGGATAATTATAATGCTTGTGTTGTTTCATTTACTCTAAAATGTGTTTGAAGCTGTAGAAACATTGTAAGAGGTTTTAAAACGCAGTAAATGTCTTCCACTACCACATTTTGTTAAAAAGTGGGAAAAACAAATAAAAAATGGATTACACCCATTTAGTATTGAAAGACATTTCCAACTCAACAACAGGTTACCCATGAGTGCGGTGGAGGAAGGAGGCGTGGAAGGAAGAGCCACAGTGGCAGCATATGATTGGCCGGCGGGTTGCTGGGGGCCGTCCTCTTGGTTCTCCTCTTCCTTGTGCTCCTCCTGCTCCTCCCCCGATTCAAAGAGTCTGACGGAGCAGCGCAGAGGGGGCAACATAGAAACATGATCATTGTGTCATTTCCGTAGTCGTTTTGACATCGTCAATATTTCTGGTAGCAGGAACACACCTGTGTTTCTGAACAAGGACACACTCGCCTCCGTCCTGCGGATCTACATTGTAGACATAGAGGAAACCCTCTGAGGATGCAACTAGCAGCCGTGGAAGCTTCTGAATCCTGAAACAAAGATAAAGTGTAAACAGATCTATTGAGAGACATTCGACTGCGTATTGTGGGTGCATGGGGAAAGAAGGAGGAGTACGTTTGTGACAAAAATCTTCTGTGTTTATTTCAAATATTTTCCAGAAATTTATATGAAAACTAAAAACAAAGTAAAATAACTTTGCAGTGCTGATTTCTTACGTGGCCAGGGCACACATGTTCTTCAGTCCGAACATGTTGAGCCGTACGGTGGCGAAGGCGCGGTCCTGGTGCATCATGTCAGACACATGGGTGGGTAGGTAGGTGCTGGCTGCTGTGAACATCTTCCCCACGTATGCTGACCATGTTGGAGATTCCTCCTCTTGACTGGAGGGAACACGAGGGTTCAGGATAAATACTGAAGTTGCATTTCTTTGTTATATTTACACCACAGCCATACCATTAGGTGGCAACAAAATCAGCAGTGACATTAAAAAGAGCTCATTTTAATGCTGCACAACATGATTCTACATTTGTGGTTGCAACACTGAAAGCCTCCGATTATCAAAACAGATAATCAGTTAAAGACTTTTCTGTTGCCTTTCCTCTCCTACAAAATTCATCCCTGGGTCGTTTCAGAAAGAGAAAAATGTCCAACATCATTGGAAAACCTGGGAAATGTCATAATGTCAAGCAACTTTTAATTAATTTTTTTTTTCTCTCTCTCTCTCTCTTTCTCTTTTTTAAAAAACTATTTCTAGTTTTTATAAATGGCCCAAAATTTGTCCAAACCAATCATTGAAAAATGTATCAGGTGATATATTCTAGCTTACACAACTGTTAAAATATCTGCGGTTACACTGTAGTCATACAGTGTATAATTACATTCCTTTAGTTTTTTAAAGACAGGTTCACAAATTAGTATGTATAATTATAATTTATGGATTATTTCAATATTTTTCCATTTCTTCTCTAAAAAAATTCTAAGACTTGTACATGTGATACTTTGTCACATATTTACAGATGTTCAGACACACATTTTGTTTTGAATAAACCTGACAAGGTTATGAAAACAGTCATATTTTGGAGATTCTCACATATACATAATAATAAGTTGTTATGATTATTGGGTGTTTGGGTTTTAGTTTCTTTTGGGGTTTTGATCATTTCTGTGTTGGTTAGATCTTGCCAATATTTGGTTAATCTCTTTGTGTTCATTATTGTCACCAAGGTGTTGCCATATTAGTTCATTCCTTTGCTTCTGTTCTGTTTCTTGTATTCTGAATTTATTTCTCTAGATGGACATCAGGCCTTTTACCTTTTGGGTTGCAGACCGTGTAGTTTTAGTTCAGTCTTCCTCGCTGCTGTC